AACTTTTAACAACCATCAATGGCGGCTGAACTTTAAATGCACAAAAGTAAGCCATAAATACAGTTTCCACTATCAAAGTAGTCACACTTTGTTGATCCAAACACTGCTGATCTCTCAACACAAATGATGGGCAGATTAAAAAGTTCATTTCGATGCTTCTCCCACACAACGGGTGTTTGGATCTAACTTCCGCGTTTATTGCTCGGACTGTATCGCAAGATCTCGAAAATCCCGCGCATACTTGTTTGCCCACCTCAGGTCTCCGCACCGGAGCGGAGCCGTTGTAGAGCGGGTACCAGTAAAAACTGAGTTCAGAAGCGAGCGGCTGCGGAAGGCGGGGGCGGACCGGAGCGGAGCAAAGCGGAGGTAGTGGGATTTGGGGGTAAATTCCCTTCCAACTTTGTATTGTATTCAACTTGTGATGTTTTCCCTTCTCCTGTCAGGGATATACCTTTGTCACTTCGTATGTCCTAAACACTCACACACTGCCTCGCCATCCTCCCACTATCTAATTAGCGCTACCTCCGGTGAAAATGTTCAGTAGCTTAAGCATCACTAAGTACAGTAGGTCTTGTGCAATTCCAATTAGGGGTGCGCAATATTGAAAATACTTGGCATGCCAAATGTGTCTCTTGCAATATCGTAAATGACTTTGTAAAATTTATTTTCAAAATTTGCAATAAACAAACTTCCAGATGTTTACATACTAGGAATTTAGTTCCACTAACATACTTCTAATATATCCGAATTCACTTCATTTTCCATCCTGAAATTTTTCTGACAGGCACTGTGCCTATCTGGGGAGAGGGAGCCATTGCAAGAAAGGAAAATTAACAGCTCATCAGAAATTAGTGAGTATTCACAGAAGACAAATAAATGAGCATAACTTCAGCACCTGATAGATGATGAAGGAACAGCACTAAATCTTTCACTGGGAGTGATTTAGTTTGTGTAGGAATCAGAGAATCAGAGAAATTTATTACCAGCGCTCCAGCGAACCAGAGCATAGGAACTTGACTCCACAGAACAGCCTGACCAAAATTACACACACACATATAGACAGGACAGATACAGGCAGACCACGAGAGCAGCCATAACGGCGCTCATTTCCATAGATGAAGAGGGGATTACATGAGGAGAGTTCGGGGAGGGAGAAAAAGGCATTAACAGAGTTACACCGGCAGGGTGTAGCTCTACTATACAAAAAAACACCTCAACATATAAGCACGAACGTCACAGTTCACAACATGAGACCCGGTAGGTAGGGGGGTGGGGCTGGGACCCTGGTTTCCTCAGCGGGAGCGGCCTGTGTGGCGCTCAGCCAACTGAGTCCACAGGTGGGTGGGAGGTCATGGGAAAACACAGAGCACAGTGAGTTCCTCCATCTTGATGACCTCGATGCAGAGACCACACAGTAGGTAGGGTTTCACAGCATTTGTCTGCATTCCTTCCATCGTGGGGTTTTTTGCACGCAACTCCAAGGCTGCTTATGGCATCAGATTGGATAACAGGACTTTGTTTGGGTCAGGCAGAGATAATTTTCCTTTCTGCCTTAAAGTCTGTATTGATCATTCAAGTCCTCCAGTGAAGCCAATTCGGTAATTAAACATCTCCACACCGTCTGGTGACCCTCTCCGAGATGACATCCATTTTGCGCACTAACACCGGTAACGCAGCTAAGACAATGTCCAGCTTGCGATTCACCCCGAGTAACGTCCCAGTCTGTGAGGTCTCCGCCCGGACGGTGCCGTCCATGGGTGCGGGTCGCCCTCCAATCGCTCCCGTCATCCCAATTTTTCGGAAAACCAGATATCCTCCCACTCCAATCAGAAGACATCCAGTGATCATCAGGCCAAATATCCACATATCTTCGACGTCCTCAACGGACAGCTGAGAGAGACAGATGACATTCCACTTCTTCCAGGAATCGAGCATATATCCCGCTGCGTGTGTCCCGTGAGGGCAAGCGCGAGCCCCCTCCTCCGTTCTCATTGTAGAAAAAATCTTATCGCGTTGAATGACCAATTAATTAAATCCATTTCTGAAAAATAGTGATTTTCAGAGGAAATGCAGAGAAGCGCTCTGTAAGCAGACGGGACAAAGAGCCTTGGGAAAAAGATAAGATAAGGGAGCAAAGCAGAAGCGACTGTGCTCTGTGAGTGCCAGAAGAGCAAAAGACCTTGACCTTGACAACAACCGTGTCTTAACAAGGATTAGATGCTTTTTCACACGGACAGGACAGGTGCTCAGGGATTTATCGGCACTTTTAAGCATAGCAACACATGAGGTGGCCTTTCATTATAAATAAAGAAAAGTGTGAAAGAACGGGTTTTAGTACATTTATGGTGGTATTCATTTGGTTGTTGATTTAATGTAAAATGTCAAACAGTGGTCATTGTGCTTTGACAACAATAACGGTAACAAATCTCAGGTCAAAATGCAAATGTTTTAAATGTAACTAGCCTATGATGGCTTTTCTCTAGCAAAGCATGGCATGCATGCAATAAAAAAGTCTGGTTTTTAGTTGATCTTTTAACTGTTAACCGATGTCACTGAGGTTACACTGTGTGTGTGGTTGGTGTAAATGTCACACCCTGGTCTCACCGGATAGTGTCTCAGTGTCATGGTCTGGTCATTGGAGGTGAGTTTCTCTCTCATGTGAGCTACAGTATAATGGTCACTTTATTAATTACGTTGATACAAAAGCCTTCTGCCAGACAGTGCATTCATAGGGAGGGTAGTGAAAGGTTTGTTCTTTGCTCAGAACATTTCTTTATTAATCTCCAGAGGGATTCTGCTTGGCTACAGAACCCTATAGGAAGTACAAAGGTAAACTTGATGACAAATAGAGGGAGGAACAAAAAAAAAAGACCTGTATAAATTAAACCATAATGAGATACAGGAAAAAAATCGTTCAGGAAATGATGGTTCCAGATGCCTGAGACCCATAATATACCATTACATTACTACAATGCATAAGTGGGTGACTTGGGCAGATTTTGAAATATTTTGATATACTTTATCAGGATTTTCCTCTGGTTTTGAAAGTGGTGGTAGCCATCTACAAGAGGGTTCATTGCTGGAATGGGGCCTGGTGTTTAAGGTGACACAGTGACGAATCGGCTACAAGATTTCAATGGTGTGGGTTCTTTGTTCAATCAATGCATTTGCAGTGGTCTCTAGTATGAATGACTGCCTTGCAGGCAGAATTCAGAGCACAAAAAGCCCACAAACTCTGTCCCAGCAGGACCAAGTATGCAACATCAGAGCTGTGCTTCAAACGGGAGGATTTGGACTCTTATTTCCTGATATGCATCATTATCATTTTTCTGGACTTTTTTTTTACTTTTGGTGACTACGCAATCAACCCGCACCACTGTCACGATCCATCGACCTATTGCGCACCCCTGCTTCACCAATCAAAATCCCCGTTTTAACAAAACAACTAAAACTGTGTTTTAAACATTTAGACAGCCCGGCGAATCAGTGTTGGGGACAACCTTGTAAATGTGTCATGATAAACCCCCAAATTATTGCAGTATTATTTTAAGCACTATCATCCATCACCATTTTAACCAAATAAGATGCCAGCGGGATTAGCCTTCACACTTGAGATTACACTGCGTACAATGTGTTAACTCACACCACATGGTTAGAGTTTTTCCAGCATGAAAACAACCTGCAACTTATTTGTTTTTGCCGTTGGAGTCAATCAGAAGGCCCCCGTGTGGGACTCACACTGACACATTAATATTGAATGATTTTGACAGACAATGACTCCTGCAGATTTCTTTTTTCCAAGCAAGCGGGCTGTGTTCTGATCGCTGACAAAACCAAGAAAAGCTCAGCTTAACTTCGTGCCTTTTATAGTTTTTTATAATCTGACCTTTTTAAATGCAACTATAAACTTTTGTTTCCAGTGTATATGTGTTAAATGGGGCAAAATCTTTTTTGTAGACAGAACAGCTTTTTAAAGCATGTGTTGTTATCAAATCAAATTACAGTCAAAAAGGCAAATGTGAATATTGCTCCAAATGAACTACTGAGGCTTGTTTTCCTCCACAGAACAAAATGTTCTTAATACTGATGTTCAAACTGTCACAGACAGCATTTTTATAACATATTTGCAAACACCCCAAAAACCACTTAAAATGTGTTTAAATGGTATAAAAAGGTTTGATTTAACAACTGATTTTATACAGTGTGAGTCCGACACACTGAGCCAGATATGTTTGACAGAGAGAGCTCTGCAAAGGTTATTCAATGTCAAAGTAATGAGTACATCATTTAAAATGTGCTCAGTTTAATCGTGCTTGGACCCACTTTGCTTCAAGTTGTCCCTGAAGGCACACATTTGGCATGGATTTTGGCAGGGTGTCTTCGTCTGACATCCAATTTTTTTTCTTCTTCCCCCTGTCTCTGTCACAGCTTCTCCCGTCCAATGATCTGTCTCTTTTTCCTTCTGTTGGTTCCTTTTCTTACTTTGGGTTGTTTTCTTGTTTCTTTTTTGCTTCACAACTCTGTTCTTATGTTTGGTAAAACCATGATTCGTAAAAACTTGTTTATTTTTGTCAAAACACATTAACTCATACAAATGCATTCTTTCAACACGGCTTCATACATGCCGAACCCTCTCCCTTCAACATAAATAGTTCTATTATTGGATACGGCATTTCTGCTTATGTTATCAATGCAAACTGATGATAATATAAAAGGATCCTCCTGCTGCTACTACACATTATTAGACTGATCACTTATTTGCATCTATTTACTTATTATTTTGCTGAAAAAAGGAAAATATTATATAGAATCAAACCCTAACCCTGCTAAACCAGCAGTGAGCCAAATAAAGATTACCTTAACTTTTCTAAATATGTACATGCAGATGACAATTTTTTCATCTGCACTAAATTATTTAGTGTTAGGGTTATCAAGTCCAAAAAACAGCAATAAGGGATCAAAAATAGGCAAAAGAATGGAAATTGATAACGCAAACTTACATCTTGGAAAAGACGCCTGTCTTGTGCCAGACGTTTGGATGCCAGTGTTTTGGTGACGTGATAGAAGGTTAGCAGTGCTCTGTGCTGCTGCAGGCCATCCTGACCCTTCACAGACTCCAGCAGAATTGGAATGAGATCCGGCCATTGCCTGGGGCAGTCCAGACGGGCCACCTTGGCTATCAGCACAGCGATCTGAGTCGCTATCTGTTGGGAGGGAAAAATAATATCATGAAGGAAAACATAACCAGAGGCCAATCACAAACAAAAAAAGAAAGGTGGTTAAGCCAAACGGGAGAAAAAACGGATTTTTATCTGAAATTTTATAAATCTATTTTAGATGAGCCATTTGGACACGTGAGGTGACAGATCCCACCAATATTCCTGTTAATCATCTGAAAAGTCTCACTTTCATTTTCACCTTCAGCATTAGAGCCGGATATTTAGAAAAAAAAGCGTATTGATCAAAAAATAAATAAATTTTGTGGCCACCCTGGCCATTTTAGGTCATTTCTTCATGATAAAACAAGTTGGTTGTGTTACCAGCGTTGGTTTTTATCAATTATATGCAAATATTGGAAATGTCCATTGTTTGTTTTTTGTTTAACTTGTAAAATCCAAATTTTTGCCATGCTGGTGAACTACTGTAACATATTTTCAGGACTATTTCCTCAGTCTCTCCTTGCTGCAACATTTTGTTTCAGTCACATGCCGTTAGGGTTGTCACGGTAACCGGTATAGCGGTAAACCCCGGTAAAAAAGTTGACAATAAAAATAACCGTCCAGTTTTTAAAAAACTATATTATCTCGGTGGGTTTACCGTGGCCGCGGTTTCGGCGCGATGACCCTTACCAGCCACCGTCGCTTCAGCTGAAGTTCCCGCGGCGCGCACACGCACTTTTTAGTTTGCAACGGCACCAAAACTTTGAAGCTGAAATAATGGCCGAAGGAGGCGACGGCAGCACCCAGGACATCCATCAGCCCTCAAAGAAGACTAAATCGGAAGTATGGGCATATTTGGGATTTATGAAAAATGCTGAGGGACAGTTAATAGAAGACGGCTATCCCGTTTGCAGAACGTGCAGGAAACAAGTGTCTGCAGAAGGCAGCAACACTTCAAATCTCATGGCACATCTGCGTGACGATCACCCACGTCTCCACAGCCAGTGCAAGGTAAGTTAACATTAGCATTTTAGCTGAAATGCATGACGTGAGGACTTTTGGCTGAGGGAGAATGCAACGAGTCACTATATACTGCAGCCGCAGCGTCCTCTGCCAGCATTTAAACCGTGTCACGGACACCCTGTTGCTGGATGAAGCATCTTATTTGTTGATGATGAAGAGAAATATACAATTAGTTCCTTGTCATTGATTTGTTTACTTATTCAATGCCATTTATACTTGAACATTTGGATTTGATTACATAGTGTAGTAGTTATTTTAGTAATTTGTTTAAAGTGGATATTTATTTTAAATACATATTTTTTAAGGTTGACTTGTACAGTGCTCAAGTCAAGTGTGGACTGGAGTTTTAGATTTTCATTTTGATAATGAAGAAAACAAGTATATGAGAAAACAAGTGGTGTTTCTTTGATTTGTTTACATATTGTTTATGTTTTGAATGTTTGGATTTGTATAATTTAAACCTGCACTGACTACTGTAACATGTTCCAGAAAAAGAAGCTATTTGTTCCTTTACTTGTGAAAAGTTGCACTTTTGCTAAGGCTTTGTGTTATTTTAGGTTTAATAAACACTGTTAAACCTTTTCAGAACTATTTCAGTTTGTGTAGAACAGGACTATCAATGCTTTCTGAACATATGCAACACCGTTTAAAAAATACCGCGATAATACCGAAAACCGTGATAATTTTGGTCACAATAACCGTGAGGTTAAATTTTCATACCGTGACAACCCTACATGCCGTCTTTTAGGTTGAGAGGGTAGGGCTTGGTGACGGAGCGTGCAAGGGTCTGTGCTATTGATTGCTTAGGATTATATAGTGACTCTAGTGTTAAGCTATCTGATAGGCTATTATAAAAGAAGAAATTAAACTTTTTATTGACTTTTTATTTTCTCACATCAGGTCAAGCGTATCCACACTGGCAAAGGCTATCCCAGGATTCAATGCGAGGCAAACAGGAGATGCCAGACGAAGCCAGAGAAGATGTAAATGTTAGTATAATATTATCTAGTGGTAAAAAAAAAAAAAAGAAACTTAAAGTAGTTGTGTTGTTGGGCTTTTTTCAAATGGAATATTTGCCTTTGTTGGTCAAAATAAATGAGAAAAATTCTAGTAAAACGCTTGTATAGTTGGCCTCGTACTTCTTCATGTATTGCCGCTTTGTGTAGTTTTAATTTATGTTCAGTCATCCTGGTTGCTAGTCAACAGAACATACGGCAAGATAGGGGCAGGAATAAATAAGTTCACTTCCGGTCTTGGCGATCAATCACTTCCGTTTGGACTACTGCAATGCTTTGTTTACAGGTCTAACTCAGAAAAATCTTGCCAGGTTACAACTAGTCCAAAACGCAGCTAGGCGTCAACACATCACTCCAGTTCTCTCATCACTTCATTAGCTCCCCGTTAGATTCAGAATTAAATTCAAGGTCATAATGTCCACATTTAAAGATATTCATTAGGGCCGCACACTATATCGTAAATGTATCGTTATCGCGTTATCAGCATGCACAATAAGCATATTGCAAAGAACAAATATCATAATGAATGGTCAGCTCAAATGTTTGCTACACAAAATGGATTCTGTCAATCAAACAGAAGCATGATGTTTTTTTAACAAATCAAATTGAGCTCCTCACTCATTTGGCCAATTGGGTGGGTTCTCATAGGTTTGATGCCCGCCCCCGAGGCGGACAGCACTTAATTTTGATGGTTAGCAAACAGCCGAGTTAGCTTTGTTCTGTGCTCTTTCTGCTGATTCTGCTTTTCCTGCTGATTGCCTTTTCTTGTTCATTCTTTTTTTTCCCCTTTTCTCACATCTTTTGCTTTTCTTATTTTTATGATTTTTTAGTCATTTCTTTATTTCTTTGTTTTTGATTATTTTTGTTCCTGAGTTAAGTTTTTAATTATTGCAAGTAATATCGTCATGGCAATATTAATCACCGTTATCGCATATTGCAGGTTTTCCTTAGATCGTGCAGCACTAGTATTTATGGGCTTGCACCTTCCTACATCTGTGACAAGTCTTTCAATGCAAAAGCAGAGTAGAGAAACAAAGTCCTCTGGTAAATTTTATCTTCATGTTCCAAGATCTAAATACAGTCAGTGGGGGGGATCACTCATTTTAGGTGGTAGCTCTGAATCTATGGAACAAACTCCCACTTCACCAACGCACGACTACTGACGTAACCTTATTTAAGTCTGGATTAAAGACTCACCTCTTTCACGGGGCTTTAGAAAATCCTGAAGTGATGTAAACTGTGCTTATGTTTTACTATTTTATAGTGTTTTTTTTATAATTATTTCATATTGGTTTTATTTTTTATTACTTTTAAATTTGTCTTAAATAATCTTAAACTGTCTCTGATTATTTACCTTTTTACATTGGATTTAATTGTTTTATTGTCTTTTTATTTTTTCCTTCTTTCCATATTTAATGTTAAGCACTTTGGTCACCCACTGGCTTGTGTAAAGCGCTCTATATATATATATATATATATATATATATATATATATATATATATATATATATATATATATATATATATAAAAATAAGCATTCATTCATTCTTTCAAGTAAGCCTGACCTAGGTGAACCAGGCACGACAGGTCACAAAAGTGCTAACCCTGATTTTAGACACACCATTAAAATACCTCTGATTATAGAACCTCTACTAACATAATGAAATGCTCCCAGAGTCAAAAAATAAATAAATAAAACACAGAATCCCTTTTGGAGTTTCAATTTTAAAGGAACAATGTGTAGTTTTTAATCGTTAACCTCTGTAAAGATCCATCAAAATGTTGTTGAAAATGAATGAAATGATGTCCAGTTGTTGAAAAATATTGGCAGCTTCATAACATATAACCATAAAAATCTGGTCTAAATTATGTGGGAGCAGGTCTAAGTCTCTCGGCCACGACATATTAGACACCGTGTTTCCTTCTACAGGAGCCCTTGAGGACCAAAGACATTTACTCATTTTTAACAAATGGTTACAAAACTTTCAGCATTAATAAACGTTGTTGGTTTACACATTCACCTCATTGCTCATTGCCAGTGATGAAAGGGAGTCTGATGTGTTTTTCATTTTGCTGAAGTTTGCACTCCCCAGGCCTTTTTGACCCTAATGGGCGTCCATTGTTAAGGTCTTACTCCCAACACAAAAATACAGCTTGCTTGCAACAACTTAGGCATCTACTGCCCCTTATCGCCAGGAAAAATACACACTGTCATTTAAGAGGAAAGGCTATGACTGATGAGACATATGGTGTTGAAACTGTATTCATGACCTGCCATATGGAGCCCATCAGTCCTGGCATTGCAGAGCTGTCTCTCAGGGATATACAAGCAGTGTATGGATGCAGGATGGATGACAACTATTTAGGTCCACCTTACATGCCCCTGCAGACCAATGTATCACATGATGCTTTATTCCTGAATGTCTCGTTAGGGGGCAGCAATCCAGAAAGTAAAAAATATTACCCACCACGAAATATCCTTTTTGTTTCATTACATGCCAACAGTTAAGATGCCTTTATTCAAGAGTTTTGTGCAGAGTAATCATGATAAATACTTTTTAAAATCCCCTCCCGAGTACATTTTACCCCTCCCCCCACTGACCTGATTGACGGGCTCATTGAAGTTTGTGATAAGACCAGCACGCAGCGAAGTCTTCTCCTCTTCTGACAATGCACTATGAACAAAACAATCAAAATGATAGTCAGCGGAGGAAAGACGGTGGAAAAAAAGTGTCACAATGGGGTCTTTCTGACGGCCTTTTTGCCAATTTGTGTCACGGTGCAAATCATTTGTTAAGATTTGTAAACATATTTTTGCAAACCAAGTGTGACCAAGTACATAGTGGCGGAAGGTGAGCTGCTTCCTGCACGCTGCATTGTGACAACATGCTGCTGGGGACTAGTTAAGCCGGGCGGACACTGTGCGACTTTTTCACCCGTAGCACTCAGCTTCAGCTCAAACTGGACGACTTCCTCGCAGGGCAGATCTCACGAGTCATGTGCTCACACTGTACGACCCAGTTCTCGCATGCGACCTGACTGCTCACACTGTACGTCTGGTAGCAACACGTCGGCCCTAAAAAATATGCTAAAAATAGCAGTTTTTACTCAACACGTCAGACTTTTTTGTCTTGTTTTGCCTGTTGTCCTTCGGGAGTGCTGCAGGGGGACACACAGGGATTTATGGGGGTTGGATGAGGAAAACAAAATAAAGAAAGTAAATCTGTGTTTAGTGATCAGTTTAATTTGACACGAACACGACAAACACGCTTTCTTGACAATCTTTGTGAGTAAAAAAACGCGTAGAAATTAAAACGAACAGCGTGTGTTATTAGGGAAATAGCGGGCGAGCGGCGTTGATGCATGATTGCGCATGCGCCGTGAGCGGTTCTGATACGTTTTGGGTCGCAGCTGCTCGCAGCGCCGCTTCAACAGTGCGATACCCTCACGAGGGACGAGCGAAATTTTAAACACGCCAGAAGTCCGTGCGACCTCACGACTGCTGATCGGCAGCTGGTCACGTGGTGTTAATCGCCTCTCGTAACCCCTGTACACTACACGACCGCTCGGCGCAAAACTCGCCCCGATGTCGTGGATTCTCGCACGACTGGAAAATCGGCTCCAAAAAGTGAAAAAGTCGCACAGTGTACGCCCGGCTTTAGTGCAGGAAAATCCTTTGAGACCTTTTATAAACTAATTTCCATTTCTATACACACCAACCACTTTGGGCCACCGACAACGTAGCAAAGACATCCATTTGTCAACTTGTAATGAGAATTAATAATCCCTAAAATGCTCATTTTAACGGAATGATTCTAATACATGCTATTTCCACCTATTTTAGATTATGCAACTACATCATCATGGATTTTGGAGTTTTATACTCAGTGTATAGCAATGCATGTTTGCTTTGGAATGTAGTTGAAGTATCGTGTTCTGAAGATAAAAAATAAGTTCAAGTAAAAATTATTCATAGTGCGCCTTTCACAGATACGAACATCACAATGCGCTGTATGACAAGTAGGGCTGGGCGATATGGCCTAATATCAATTTCACGATATATTGAGGATTTCACCTCGATTACGATAAACGGACGATAACTACAGGTATGCGCAGACACAAAAGTTGTCCACTAGATGGGGCTGTCTCATGTATTATGTTGAGTCACATTTTTACGTGACTCAAGGCAGTACAGCTTCTTAAAGAGACATGAACTTTGCCAACCTACACACATCTTTTCATTTTTTTATTATCTAATTTATTGACATGGGAAAAATTATCTCAATGAGTCAGAAATTTCGATAATGATACATTTTTGATCTATTGCCCAATCCTAAGTAAAAACTGGTTAAACAATTCAAACATGGAACGATCATTGGCTCCAAAACACTATACTTATTAAATCAATAGGACTAAATAATAAAGTAAATAAATACAAATGGAAAAAAATCAATGACAGATATATTTTTACACAGCATTTTAATTATATCAGTTGGCTAAAACAACTTAACAGAAAATAAGTTATTATAGAAAAATCATTATAATATATTAGGGGTGTCTAACATTAATATTGGCTGATATCAGTATTAAACTTTAAAACACACAAATTCACACACTCGTGGTGATGAGCTACGTTCTAGCCACAGCTGCTCTAGGGCGCACTGACCAAGGCGAAGTCTCTTCTCTCGTGAGAGGCGGGATTGAACCAAGTGTTTCCCCTACATAGGCTCAGGCAAGGCGCTGCACCACGGCTACGAACTCCCACAACCCCACCAGTTGTTTCATGGTTTTTTACGGTTCTACTTGCCTGTTTGGGTTGATGTTTAGTCCTTCCTTTCTTTTTAACTATAATGTCTACTTGCCTGTTTGGGTTGATGTTTAGTCCTTCCTTTCTTTTTAACTATAATGTCTATGTGTTTTAACTGTGCAGCGCTTTGGTCAGCTGCAACTGCTGTGTTGAAAGCGCTTAATAAAATTATTTGGTATGAAAAAATACAATTACTAATAAAGCACACATGTTGGCGTCACACTTGGGTAGAATGAGATCCAGCTGCTGTTGGAGACTAAATAAATAGAGAACTTTTACAATTACTAACTTCAATTAAAGCAGTTGAACAATGTTTAAAATGTCAGCATGCATGATAGGAGATTTATGATGTTAGTAACCAAAAATGTTTTAGTTTTTATTTTTTCATGAGGGGGGACGCAGCATAAATCGGTATCCGTTTATATCAGTATCAGAAATTTTGAGTCAGCAATACCGAGAATCCCTGTAAAATATACTATAATGGGTTGCCTTACACCCGAGGTTTTCACACACTGAGCCTACAATAAACACAGTAACAATGAGAACCTACTCAGAAGTTTTTAAAGACTTTACTTCCTTAAAAAAAAACTTGAATTATTTTTAAAGAAAACTTTCTTCTTTTTGTTGCTTGAAAGTTTTATGTGCTGTGCTCTGGGAATAGTCTGCCCGAGGATTCCAGAGAAGTAAAAAGCATTATGACTCATATTCATATTTTAAAGCACTGTGTATTTTAGTCGTTTTACAGTTGTGTTTCATTTCTCTTGAGTATTTGCTTCACCGTTTACATTTGTAGCCTATTATTAGCTAAGTCTGTCACAAACCAACTTTAAAAGCACCGGTGAAGAGAAACAAAGGAACATTTAGATTAATGCTGCTGCAAGACACGTCTAAACTTTTCGTTTTTTTTTTATTACCTACATGTAACAAAATGCGACATTTGATATTGTGGAAAAATAAGTTGTGACATGTTCAAGTCATTAAAAGAGCAAATGACTCAAATGATAAATGACCTGCACTTGGATAGCGCCTTTCAGAGTCAGAGGACTCCAAAGCGCTTTACACTACAGTGTTTCATTCACCCATTCACACACTGATGGTGATGAGCTACATCGCAGCCACAGCTGCCCTGGGGCACACTGACGGAGGCGAGGCTGCTGTACACATGTGTCACCGGTCCCTCTGACCACCCCAGAAGGTAAGGTGAGCTAAGTGTCTTGCCCAAGGACACAACAGCAGAAATCGTTGTCCGGATTCGGAATCTAACCTGCAACCTTCCGATTACTGGAAAACCCGCTCAACCTCTAGAGCAACTGCTGCCCCTACAAGAAGCGGACCTTTGGGTTGATCATAGCAAGAGAAGAATAAAATAAACGAGATAATGATGGATCACAGTCCTTAAATGACGTTATTCACTTTTGTAAAGATTTGACCTATAACTACAAACGTGCTGATCTTAGCTTAAAACTCTGCTACAAAAGGTGAAGTAGCTATAATTGCATCATAGCCTACTCATAGAGAAGCTATATTTAAAACAAGCAGAGATTTGGACAATCGATAATTCAATTAGAAGTCGAGCGATATACTTTTTCTATTACTGATGCCAACATGTATACTTGGTGAGCTGATGGTCGATATCTAGACATTTTCACGCTAAAACGTCACTACATTGATGCACCAAATTTCTGAAGCTGAATCAGTTTTTGAACTCTGAATTTAACTAACAGTTAAATCTTAACTTTGTGCACGGTTCAGTGTTAAAATCATCAACCATCCATCCATTATTCTGTGTTTAGCTGGGGTCGGAGACCCAGACTTCCCTCACCACACTTGGGCCAGCTCCTCAGGGGGGAATCCCAAGGCGTTCCCTGGCCAGCCGAGAAACACAGTCCATGATTAATTATGCAGATGTTACTAGTGAACGTAAAAATATATTTGAATAAAATTATGCAACAACACCGGGCTGCCCAAGAATGTGTGTGACCTTAAATCGGCTTTACAAAGGACAAATATTGGCCAATGCGATGTATAAAAAACGGTAAACACCGGCCCGATATAACGGCCAAAAACTGATATACCAGACCGATATGTTGGTCAACCATTAGATCGGTCCGGTGCATCAGTTGGCCGGTCTACCCCTAATTTCAATGCCTGTTTTATTATTTTGACACCAAAAGAAAAATATTTCCATTTTTGCTCCATTCTCCTGTAATGTGTGAAGATATTAGTTTCAATTAGACTTTTTTATTAATCCAAACCCTTTTTGAAAATCTCTAAACCTTTAAAATCAAAAGTAACCTTCTGACATCTACAAATCTCACTCAAAAGTACCACAGGACATTAATAACTGACAAAAATGGTAATTTGTGGGTTTTTTTTCTTTTGTTTTGTAACTTTTGCTGGCTGATGAAAAGTAAAATACAAAAACCACATCTACACCAGTAGTGGTGCTCTGACTGCTAAAGGTCACAGTTATTATAAAAATTTAACCTTTTGGAGCCCAGCCACCATGAAAAATAGTAGTGAACACCACTGCACGAGTTCACACCTATAAAATATAATCTGTGAATGATAATAGATCAAATTCAAGTTGGTCACTATATCTGGGCCCATGTTCTTCTAAATGAAACCTCAAACTGTTCTAGAGTCTGGTGAATTCATATTTGAAACCCGTTTTTGAAAACCATCGACATCTCTGCTTTAGAAAACCGAGAGCCTGTGCGTACTTTCATCTGCACACACTTCAAAAGCCAGAGTCAGTGATGGTATGTGGGGTGCATTAGTGCACAAGGTAACCTGCACATGTGCAAAGCCACCATTAATGCTGCAGGGTATATCCAGGCTCTGGAGAGATTTACACTGCTGTTCAGATGGTTTTATCAGAGAAAACGTGCTTTTTATTCCAACCAGAACATGCTAACCCACCTTATACATGCATTACCGCAACATGACACCAAATTAAAAGGGACAAGGAGCTGAATGGGCATGTCTGCAGTCCAGGTTTATCTTTTGGCTTATTAAGAAACAGAAAATATAACAAAGAAATCCCTGATTTTTGATCTAGTGAATACCCGCAAACAAGCAAAAATGGGATTTTTTTTTTTGCTTTTAAAACATCCTCAGTCTCCGAGTCCTAAAAATTCAAGAGGAATTGATGTAGTAAGAAAACCCTAAAAAAAAAGGAAATAAAAAGATGACACCTGCATAAAGTTGAACAGACCAAAGGAAAAGGAAAGCAATATGAACAATGCAGGAAGGACCAAACCCTCATGATTAGTAGAGATGGACAAAGAGAGAACATCATTCGGTAGGAAAGTGTAAAACCTAAAGACGAGCATCACTGCTGAGACAAAAAGGCTTCAGATGAAGGAGTGAGAGCGCGAGGCTGACAGGGAACAGAGAAGCATGCAGGTACTTACTGAGGGGCCACTCTCCTCCAGTACCGGTCAATGCCATTTTTGAAGTACAGCACAGCGAGCCACCTGACATTCACATCCAGCACGTGGTTGTTGAAGATATTCTAAAGAACACAAAAGAAAATGCATATGTTCATTAACCTTCCTTTTTTGGCTCCAACAAGCAAGACCAAATAATTTAAGGGCTGACCCAGTTTAATGATGTGTAACAGCTAAAGCTACACCCGCAAAAAGGGGTCATCGCTCTAAGTAAAGTGCAATGACAGCACTGTGATACCGTCAGGGAAGGCTCGTCAAAAAACGGAGCGTGCTGACCTTGTGGACAAGGCCGTCTGAGATGCCCACTTGAGTAGTTTTCATCCTCTGACTATGATGGAGTTGTAAAAATGCAGCCGTAAACCAGGGGATTTGGCTGAGAGCACCGTGTATTCAGTGTTATTTGCCTTCTTGCAGCAAAGACTGGAGCAAAATAAAAAGCCGCAACAGTAAAATCAGAGATTGGAATCTGAGAATGGAAGGGGAGTTGTTTAAGTCGCATTTTTGCTTTGAAAGTGTACAAAACATCCATCTGTTGCATCAAGGGAAACCGATAGCAGTGCTGTGTAATGAAACCGTTTACTTTTAATGTGTAAGTCATAGCCAACCTACCACCACTTGGCTTTATTAAGACATCCAGTGTATAATTTAGCCTCTCTTTTCATTACCTGGTACGTGTGAGCTCTCCTAAAATAAACTCAGTTTGTGAAATTTTTGTTAATTTCTACTGTTTCATTTCAATTTTTAAAAGTTCTTATTCACTTGTTCTTTCAATAATTCAGCTGTTCCCTCTAGTATGGTAAATGGCCTGTATTTGATATAGCACCTTGCAGAGACCTAGAACCTCCCAAGGTGCTTCACAACAGTCAGTCATTCACCCATTCACTCCCTGGTGGTGATTAGATACAATGTGGCCACAGCTACCCCGGGGCGCACCACTGACAGAGGTGAAGCCTGCTGGGCACTTGGGCCACCGGACCCTCTGACCATCACCAGCAGGCAAGGTGAGTTAAGCGTCTTGCTCAAGGACACAACAGCAGCATTCTCTGGTGGGAGCTGGTGCTCTGACTATCCGTGCTTCCTCGTCGAATTATCCTACGTGTTATGACAGTTTCACTCTTGTTTACATTAGTAACACGCTTATTAAACACGATTTATTTTAAATAGGTGATAATACATGAAAATGCAGAACTGTAGTATAATTATTCACAAAAATATACAGTGCTTGTGGTGATTTATTTATGAAAAAGACCGTGTTTGTCATGATTTCGTGAATGACGGTAAACAGTGGGAGAAATTTCTTGTTTACAGTACAGTAACGATTAGGGATGTGTATTGGTGAAATCACGGCGATGTGATACGTATTACGATACAGGGAAGGCGATACACTATATCACGATATATTGCAATACATTCAATTTGACGATATTAGCTATTTTTTAGAATATATTTATGATAGGAAAATTCAATAAACAGTCCAAACTGATACTTAACATGTTTAACATGAAGTATCTGAACCATAATAGAGGAATTCACATTTCAGTGGTGGAAACCAAACCCATTGCACACTCTTTGCAGTCGGGTTTGAATTGCACCAAAACAGAAGAAAATACACAAATGTTTGCATGTAAATTCTTCCAAAAGTGATATACACAGCTTTTGAATATCAGTAAAATATTGTATCAAAAACATATCACAATATATTGCCATATAGATTTTTTTGATAAGACTGCTTTTGAATATCGATATTATATTGCTGGAAAAAATATCACGATATATTGCCATGTTGATATTTTCTTACATCCCTAGTAACGATATTCTACAAGCCATTTGCAAGGCAACTGTCAGTTAAACGTATAACAAGCAGAAACGTAACAACTTCCAGAGGTAGTGCTTCTTTTCAGATGAGCAGCCTGTAACGTGGTAGTCGGTCTGCGCATTTCCCCAAAGTAGCACATTGACGGGTGGCACGGATAGTCGGCACACCGGGATCGATCAGACAACCCTCTGATTACTGGACAAGCCTCTCTACCTCCTGAGCAACTGCTGAATGAAAGCCTTGTGAGTTGTCTTCTATGAAATAAAGTTCTGGCGCTCCTGTGAGGGTAGAAGTGTGTCAGATTAGTGAGGGGGGCACAGAGGCGGAGTCTTACTAATTAATATTTATCCCCCTTCCCAGCTGGTGGTGGTCGGAGGAACCGGAGGCGCCAGTGCTCGGCAGCCTTGCCTCCATCAGTGCGGCCCAGGGCAGCTGTGGCTACTCCGTAGCTCATCCCCACCAGTGTGTGAATGTGTGTGTGAAAGGGCGAATGACTGATTGTTTTGTAAAGTGCCTTGGGGGGTTCCAGAACTCTAGAAGCCGCTTTATCAAATACAGGCCATTTTACCATTTACCATCAAATGTAAACATCTCACTTCTGATTGGCTAACTGCAACACGACTCTTCCACTGCCCCAGCAAAGATGCCTCGTGTGTCTTGCCCTTTCTGTCTTGTGGAAACTAAATCTCTGTGATGACTCGGACAACTTTGAGGGAAAATGTGCTGGGTAAACTTTCAGAACTCGTTCAAATTTCTTTTCTTCTTCTTTCTTTCGGTCTTTATTTTGGTTTATAGCATTAACATGAACATTTTCTTTTCAAACAAAACAACAATATTAACAACTTGAATTTAAACCAAAGAAGGAATAGGCAGAAGCAATGCTTATTTTAGCCAACCCTATTTTCCACCTAAGATACATAACCAATATACATTTCTTTTATTTTCCCCAATATAAATAACCACAATGAAAATTCATTAATGTCTATACATACTTTTCATACCCTGTGAATATGTGACACTTTACACCTGCTTTAAACTTTAGTAAAGAAGTGCATTTCTTCAAATCATCATCTGACTCATTCCACAATTTCACACCAACAACGTAGACACATCTTGATTTCACATTAGTTCTGGCTTTTACACATTCAAACATAAATACACCTCTGAGATTATAATGATCATCTCTTGGTTTGAAATAAACTTTTATGCAATTTGGGATATTATTATTAACTACTTTATGAAGAATCTCTAAGATTTTTACTTTAATAATATCTCTTAATTTTAGCGTTTTAGTTTGACTAAATAGATTATGGGTTGGTTTGAGGTATCCCAATTTATTAACTATTCTAATCGCCTTTTTTGTAATTTAAATACAGTCTCAACACACGTTTTACCTACATTTCCCCAAACCTCTGCACAGTAAGACAAAAAAGGCATAACTAAAGAGCAATAAATCAAAAACAAGGCTTTTTTATTTAGTACATCACTAGTTTTATAAAGTATAGCAATAGATTTAGACACTTGCCGTTTGATATATTCAATATGTGGTTTCCAACTGAGTTTACTATCAATAATCACACCGAGGAATTTAGTTTCATATACTTGTTCAATTGGGACTCCATTTAAATACAGCTTAGCACCGTCATTGTCCCTGTTCCCTGAAAATATCATAAATTTGGTTTTATTTTCATTTAGTGATAGCTTGTTGTAATCAAACCATTTTTTAACTGAACCCAATTCGTTTTCAACCTCTTGTAATAATTTACTCATATCTTTTCCCAAACAAATGAAATTTGTATCATCTGCAAACATAATAAATTTACATGAGAAATTTTCTCTGAGATGTCTTCTAAAACTTCCAAGCTGATTGGATTTGTCTCCAACGTTTTGCTGCCCATCCTGATGCTGCCTCACAGTTCACAGCTTCTTATGCAGCAGCTAAAAAACGGAAAGCAGGCACAAACCTTTTCTCTCTGTAGGATGTCAAAGTCTTAACGCCGAAGATAACAGCACTTTAAAAAATGTTCAAAAGCCTTTTTCAGGAAAACACCTAGAGAATGAAACTACATCCAGACTTGAAGTGAGGTTGCACTTGACAGCTAGCGATTATTCCCAAGAAAATCTTAACTCTAAAGGCACTCTATACAGTTTGTTTCCTGAACACCAACCTTTGTTCCATGCTTGAAAACTGCATAGTACACATAGTTTGACTAAAACAGGATGATGTGCATCATTTCACCAAAAAACATCCTACAAAACCAACCAAACAGAGAGAAAACATTTCTTTTTCTTTGTACTTAGCTGGACAGAGCACACACTGGGTCAGTTTCTTCCCAAATTGCACAGACGAAAGTGAAACTCCTCATATTCTCCGAGTCTGATGAGAAGAGTAAACAAATATTCTCTCTAAAATATCTGAGTAATCTCTCAGGTGGATTGCATGGGTGAACAGACTTTTCAACAACCCTTGCATATTGGCGAACACCATCTGTGCGTGTAAACTATCTGCAAATAAATCATATGAAACCGTTCAGTAGAGATTTGAGTAATTCCTTAATACAAATCAATCTCCAGCTGCCTGCGATCCGTTGTTCCCCGTCTTTAACAAAATTAAGATTTCTTGCTGCGATTACAAGTTAATGTGTAAAACTGTCTGAATGAATCGTTGCATGAAGGAGGACATAAATCTGACTTTGTTAAACTGATTAGAAAATAATCCCCTCCAATTAAAAACCAACCGTTTAAAGAGACACTCAGCTCTCTTTCTGCTTCCTGTAACAGAATGAAATGACTGTTTCCCTCTCCTCTGACACAGAACTAGTCTGCATGAGATTGGTCTCAAGGTCTCATGCATTTGCTTCTAACCTGCTTCTTTTCAGCTCAACAGAAGAATGAAGAATGAACTCTTTTCTTTTAATTAATCAAAAAACTCTATTTTAATAAAGCTAATCAAACAAAGTGTTAGTCAATAATAAGATGTGACCAATCTGTGAAATCAAAATATTACTTTATTATAATCCTATAGAATATAATAAGTAATATGACTTTAAATGTTTCACTAGGACTGATCTCACGTAGCGATAAAAGACATGACACATTGCTTTACTGATCCAATCAGAATCTGCCAGATCTGACAGAGGCGTGGTTTTGGTGGTGCTTGGTAAACTTGTCATCTTTTCATTCGACCATAAACCAAAACATCCGAAGTATAAAACTATGCCCACGTCATCTTTAACGCCAGTTCAAAGCGTTCTAGAGAAGTTGTCGGAGTGGCCAATCCGTAACTTTCCTCTTCAGCCGAAGGAACCAACGACAAGCTGGATAAAATCTGTTGCTGTTCCACCTGCTGCAATGGTTCCTTTCAGAATAAAAGCTGAACCATCATGACCCTGGTGGGTCTCACCAGACACCAACAAACTGATGTGACCCGGAAGTATCTCAAACACTGCTCTGGTCGGCAACAACTGCTTTTCCTACCGGCGTCGGTTCCAGAAAAGGTCAAGCTGGACCTCGACATTCCTGATCTAACGGGGACTTCCTGAAGGGTATGTAGACCGACAAATGGCGTTGAATGTGTTTATGAATCTCCTAACCAAAGCTTAGTGCAAAGACATCACCTTCATTTCCCATCAGAACTAATCGCTTCTTCGGATTTGCTGGTTCTGAGCAACATTCCACATCACACCATTCTCCGTCTCATCCACCTTAGTTACAACATACATTTAGTGTTAAAGTCAGTCTACTTTAATTTGTCTTAATAAATTTTTTAACTTTTAAACTTGACTCTCTCTCTTCTGTCGTCTCTGAGTGAATACGAAGCTGTTATCTAATCCCTGCAATAAAAAGTTCCAATCATCTGGTTTAAAATAACCTCACAGATCCATAAGGTGGATTTCATATTTGCTATGGAATCCTACGTCTTATGGCTTATTAAATAACATGTAATTTAAATCATTACATTCCTAAAGGATCATGCTAGTGGAGGTATCGCAGATTTATTTGACTCTGACGATCGTGACTCACAAGTAGGACTGAGTAGAAGCCAGGCTGGGTCTCCCACTGCCTGAGCTGCTCCTCTGCAGGCTTCAGCACAGCCGTGTCCTGACTGGTAGCTTGGGTCAGGGTCTGCAGCACCACAGAGCTGGCACTGTCCATATCCATATCTGGATATATCTACAGAGAAAAGGAAGAGAGAGAACAAGAATCAGGGAAAATTCTACTTATTTAAGGAAACTTCAGGTATGCTTGGAAGGAAAATAAAAAAGATTGTCAGTTCACGGCGAAACCTAAATAATTAAGCATCACAAGAAAGTCGAGGGAGTCGGTTTATATCCTCAGAAACCATCCTGAGAGGAGTGGACTTAAAAAAAGCCCATTTTTCTATTTAATTGTTATTTTGTTTTCTGCCAGTTGCATCATAGTTGAGGGCTCATGTCACATCCGTGTTTATTAAGATTTGTTGTTGGGAATCATCTGTTTTCCATCGTCCAGTGAAACCTCCCACCTAAAGATCCATCCATCCATTTTCTGAAACCGCTTTGTCCACGCAGGGTCGGGGCTGGTGCCTATCTCCAGCGGTCAACGGGCAATCAGGCGGTGTACACCCTGGACAGAGAGCCAGTCCATCGCAGGGCAACACAGACACACAGGACAAACAATCATGCGCACACACACTCACCTAAGGACAATTTAGACAGACCAATCAACGTAACAGTCATGTTTTTGGACTGTGGGAGGAAGCCGGAGTACCCGGAGAGAACCCACACATGCACAGGGAGAACATGCAAACTCCATGCAGAAAGATCCCAGGCCGGGAAACGAACCCAGGACCTTCTTGCTGCAAGGCAACAGCTCTAACCACTGTGCCACTGCGCAGCCATCCTCAGAAACATTGGTTTTTACTTTATCTAACTATTATTTCAACACTGTTTTGTTATAGCTCAAGCGATGCTGAAACTAATGCCAAACACAAGATGAAACATGCTCTTATAAAATAAAAAATAAATCACACTTAATAGAAAAAACTGGAGTCATCTCAAACCTGCAAATAGCTCTTTCATGCTCCAGATGTTGTTCAACCACCCAAGTTTCACACAATCAAATGTGTATTTGTCATTCTAAATGGCAACTCAACTAATTTACCCATAAAAGACATTTCCAGGAGTGAAAATATGGTGTAAACCATTCTTTAACAGCTCACACTCACATTTAAGTAAAAGGATAAACGAACTTAGAGGAAATCTCTTCGGCTTTACTGAATTTACAAGTTTATAGAGTAATATCTAAAAATACCTGTTTCTTATAGGTTCACTGGATTTAAAATATCCTGCCTTAATCACTTTGAGTAAACAAACTCATAAAACGAGCAACTGAATGGTAGAACGATGGAAGTGACTCAAATGGAGAAGAAAGAAAACATGAAACAATGCTGCCATCTACAGCTCAGACACAAATATTCAGCACTACAGGAAACCAGAGTTCTCCTGGAACTGCATTCATTTTCAACATCACAATTATTTGGCAACGATGTGGCTCCAGCTGCCGCCTGATGAGTGAAGATCATGAATAACTTAGCCAAATAACTTCTTGTTGCCGCTATCTATTCTAAATGAGTGACCAGAAGAGTTTAAACCAACAATGATTCGTTTGAAATGCAGCTTCAACCTGTAACACAATGTCAATTACATGGCTTTTTATCATTTTGATAGGATCAGCAAGCTTTTTCGTGTCATCCCTTCCAGACGTGACATACTTTGATATAAGATTAGAATCTTTTAACTGTCAACACGTTTTCCACATCCCTCTGACTCGAGCTGGAATGCAGCAGATACTTAACTCATTCACTGCCATTGACGACTAAAGTCGTCATTTTAGATGCAACCGTTCACTGCCAATGACGACTACAGTCATTGGCATTTTTTTACTGTTTGAGCATCGGAACGAACCCCCGCGCTGAGAGAACAAACATCTCAGCCCTGAAGCCAATCTTCATCCGCACATGTCACATGATCAGGAAGCAGACCATCCAGGGTCTGAAATTGACACTCGCCACTCGCCAAATGCGAGCAAATTGCTCCATTTGGCGAGCAAATTTTTTAGCTCTATCTGCCACATGGCAAGTAAATGTTTGCACCAAATAAGTTATGTTTATCAGTCATCTTCCATGGATTTCTGATACTCCTCCCGCCTGCAAGCAACGTACACAAACGTACGCGAAACGTGAACGCCGCATCCAACGTCATTTCCACCTATCCCATTCGGTTTATCAAGTTAGCGGTTAGCTTCGTGTTAAAACTAGCGGTGAAATGTGGTGGTTTTTAACTGGAGTCAGCCAGCCTTCCAAAAGAAAACTCGTTGAACTGGAAGAATAACCACCAGGACCAGTGGCAACCAGAAGATGTTGTGAAAGTGGCGAACCGGAGATGGCGGAGTCGTGAGACAATACATTATGATGGCCACGTAGCGTTGCTGCCTTTCACAGACAACTGGCCCTCGGCATTCTTCAAATATCCAAAATATGCCCGTACTTCCCACTTTGTCTTCTTTGAGGGATAATAAATGTCCTGAGTGCTGTCGTCTCCTCCTGCCATTATTTCAGCTTTAGCTTAAAGAAAGTTTTGGTCGTAAACAACAAAGTGCGCATGTGCCGCCGGCAACTTCCAGATGATACGGTGGCTGGTAAGGGTCACCGCGCCTACACCGCAGTCACGGTAATCCACCGAGATAATATATGTTTTAAAAAACAAGACGGTTATTATTATTGTCAACTTTTTTACCGGGGTTTACCACTACACCGGTTACCGTGACAACCCTAGCCCTGACACACTTTCAGATATTCTCATGGTGCAGCTGTGTTCTCCAGGGATCAAGGACTATGACCCAAATGAGGCTGTAATGCTTTGGCACAAAGACGGTGTCAAAAGCAGGAGGCCAGACTTCATGGACAGAGAAAACAAGGAGTCTGACTAGATTTCAATGAAAGAGTTCATAAAAACATCTCTAAAAATAAATAAATAGTACAAATGACAAAAGAGTTGTTTTTCTTATTAATTGATGTTTTAATTATTTTGTCACTCTGTTTGGAATCAACATAATAGATAGATAGGTAGATCTAAATCATTTAGAATTTTGGCCGGTAAAAAATATGCTTGGCCGGTAGATTTTCATCATCTACCGGCCAACTTGGCCGGTGAGTAAAAAATTTAATTTCGGACCCTGAGACCATCCATGTATTAGGAGATCGTTTTGGGCCGTTCCTGTAAAAAAAGTGAGGCGCGAACCGGAAAAGCGTCTGCCGATCACAATTCAACAACGGATTATGAAAGAACGGATAACGCTCGAAACACACGGATTCTTCCTGATGTAAGAGGTGAGTCCCCGCTTTGTTTTGGTTGTTTTGGCGTCGACATAATCCTAGCGCGCAACATTCTGTGACTCTTAAAAAAACAGTAAAAACTGTGAGAAACGCTGGCAGTGAATGAGTTAAGATGTACACCGATCAGTCAGCAACACATAAAAAATAGCCAGTGTTCAGGCTCGGCATTGAATCAAGAGACAGATAAAAGAGCACAGCGTGGATCGTCTTTGTTTGCTACACTGCTGGCTAACCTCAGTTTGTGTACTTCATGTGAATGTCACCCTGAGACAAATCGGTTACAGACAGCTAAATCAAATAGCGCAACAGCAGAGAGAAAAGGGCTCTATAATAAGAGATCGGCTAACCAGCTCAACTTAACTCATTTTAAAGAAACCTGTAGAGTTTTAACATTGTGTGCCATTCAAGTAACACTAAAGAGTTTTTTAACACCTTAAGCTGTTGCTTTAAAACTGGTTTTAGTCCTTCTTGAGCCATAAACTTAAGAAGCTTGACATGGGACAGTCCTCTGCACTTAATAGTTTTGTGGTATGGTAGGAAAACTGGTGGGAGGCTTACTGTGTCAGTAGCTCTTATAAAGGCTAGCAGTTAACTTTTGCAATTCTCAGAAAGTTAATAAAAAGCACAAAAAGAAGATTTTTTTCTTTTTTGTTGATGTTTGTTTTTTGCATCATGGCAGAACCTGGACGTAAAAGTAAGAGAGTAATGTCTTTGAAGGTGAAGCAAATAGCAAAAGCCAAAGTGAGCAACAGTATGGCCTACACTTGTTTCAAAATTAGACCGATGGTGACCTGGCTTTGTTGCTACTGGACTTGTAAGGATTCAGAATAATACTTTTTTTGCCAAACAGTGTGGAACTTTTAAATTTGTGGCTTATTTTAATATCAGTTGGCTCATGTTAGCTCGCTGCTAGCGCTTGCTTCCGCAGGCTGCTGCAGGATTGTTATGACTATTGTACTTTTAACCAGTTGGGCAGGTGAGCAAGAAACTTATTTTATGTTACTTTAAAAAGGTCAGTAAACTCCAGGTTGTGAATGATGTTAAAAGATGAAGCATTCATTTGATTGTTGGAGAAAACATTTAGATTTTTATGTTTTATTTGGATTAATGGATCACATAAAAGGTGGAAAATTAAGCCTAATCTTTCAACATATTGAGACTACTTAACAAAATGTAAGTATCTTCAAGTATTGGTGAGTTTCTTTATACAACAGCTTCACACATAATTTCACTTGTCAAGCTACAAGAAAATGCTTCATGTGTGAAAAATTTGTTGCAAAGCAGTGATCCCAATGTGGAGCTGAAACAAAACACATTTCAATGTTATGTGCAGAAACGTAGAATCCCAGTCAAAAATGGAACACTTTGTATGCATTCCTTGATACAAACAAAATTAACTCCCACTTTGCATTTAGGGAACTTGTAAATCCCATTAAATGTATATTTGAGTGGTATAAGCCAGTGATTCCAAATCAAAATTGTAATGTACAAGTAGAAGAAAGAAAGAATAAAGTATTTCTGCTACAGCACCTCTCAAGATGAAAAGTCATGAGGTGCTTCACAAGAATAAAATTAAAAATGAAAATAAAACATGATTAAAAACATTAAATTTTTTTAAAAAGAGGTAAAAAAATGAACATTTTAGATAAGAGAATGATACAAAATCTCATAGAAAACAAAAAAGCCCAAATGTCCTTGTTAGCAGCAACATATGCTGCAGTTAACAATCAGTCAGATAAAATCCTGCTTTTATTTATATTTCTGCTTTTTTGGAACAATGTCTTTATAGCAAATTTCTTTTATATATATATATATATATATATATATATATATATATATATATATGTGTGTGTGTGTGTGTGTGTGTGTGTGTGTGTTTTTTTTTACTAGAGACGAATTCTTTAGCAGAACCAGAACTGTAGTTTCCCCAGATTGTTTTATGAGCTTCATCTTTGGTTGGCACTATTTTTGCTGTATCCTTGTTTGTCTGCGGTCCCAACAAAACACAAGTGTACAGACGTGATTCCTACAAAGTTCATGTCTTATCTTTCGATTGATGTAAGAAACCAAACAGGTTCCTTTAAATTACACTAAGGTTTGCTGTGAAAATTAATTACAAAACAAGCTAACAAAACGAGTCAAAACAAGCTCGCATAAGTTAATAAAGACGCAGCCGATTCTCCTTGATTAGCTCTGTAATGCTTGATTTTAACAATAACTTGCTTTATTCTCACGTCACTCACAGCACTGATGCTAACCCTTAGCTAATAAAACGGGGGGGTACAGAGATTTATCTCGTAAATGTCATCAAACATCATAGCTAACATTAAGCTAGCAGCGAAACTGAACTTCTTCAACATGAACCCGATAAAGGCCGATAACGTATGTGTTTTGGAATCGCAACACTTCTGATAACGAAGCATTAAAAAGCAACTAAAAACAGACTCACCCGGTAGATAACAAGTAGAAAACGAAATCAGTGTTTGTAACAGCGGCTGCTGTGGAACTTCTGCCAGTGAAAACGTAACAAGAGATGGAAACACACGCTGGTTAGAATGGCGCGGGTGGCAATGTCGGCGCGAGCTGATGACGTAAAAGGTTCAGAGACTCGTGCAGAGACAGAAAAAAACAACACACCCTGCGCTGTCGGTCTATTTGGTCCACATTTGTTGCATATATCTGCTGGGACAATACGTGGTTAAATAATTGACACAAAACATGAATTTAATATTTAATATATAGTAACATATCGTTTTAAATGAGTAGTTTATTTTAATTTATTTATTTATTTATTTGAACAACTTCTTGGGAAGAATGGATTTTACACATAGCTTCAGATTAAGACTAAATTACTTGATTGAGGTGAACTCAGTTTAATTTGTTCCGCTATTACAGTTCATTTGAAAGCGTGTGATCTAATTCAAACTACACTTTATTCTCACATTAGTTCTAATCTGACCTTTTTTGTCCCCCTGTAACCAAAGTTGTTTCTGTTACAATGTGTTTTTGACGTTCTGAATGCAGGTAGTGCAGGTGGAAAAAGTCAGTGCAGGTCCAGGTAAGATTTATTTTATTTTTATTTTTATTTTTTGAAACTTTTATTTGAACATAAGACAAAATATTTTTTAAAAATCAATGAGCAAAGGCGGTGTATTTTAATTGGATACTTAGCAACTTTTTCATATTTTTAAATAATTATCTTGAGCCAGTATGTGCTAAAACCCTTTACAGGGTTAATGAAAGGCCACTCAGCATCTATCGCCCCCTGTTGCCAGAATATTCCACTTGCAACTTCAGATTGGTGGGGCTCTGTTGGAACTTGAAAAAATTTGAACTGACATACCTGGTGCTGCAGATCATGAATGCAACTGGTTCGTAGGGCTGTAGCGAAGCCTCGACGAAGTCGACGGCTCGATTCTAAAAATTTGTCGACATCAGATCCGGAAGTCGACACACCGCGCCCACTTGTTGCATCCCCAGGAGTTTGTAAATAGAGGAGGAATCTGCCTGTTTTTCCTCTAGTTCGCCCTCTTCTCCGCCTTCACTAACATCTCCGCCAAATACCGAAGACCCGGAACAATGTCCGTCCACTACTAGATTATTTTCCTGTTTTGCCCGCCTTCGTCTCCCAGCAACGGACAACAACTTCCGGGGTCAGATGCGCTGCTTCGTCTCTACCGCAGATGTAGAACATCACCGGGAGCGTTTCTCCCTTCATTAAGGAGCTTCTTTCAGACATGAGGAGAGCTGTTTTGGTGGTAGCAGTCTCTCCTCCGTGCTGGTCTGTTTGCTGCTGGGTGTTTTTGGTTTATTTAAACTTGGTAACTTGAACTTAACGTTGGTAAAGCTACTGTTAGCATCTTCGCTAACAGCTTCTTGCGTTGGGATAAGCTGTTCCGTTTTGGTTTAGAGTTCATCTTTTTTGTGGTGTAGATCTCCCTTTTATTACATTTAGAGTGTTGTGGGTTTTCGGTTTAGTGTAAAATATCACCTGAGTTTGGTTTAACCCGTAAGACCACTCGCCTCACGCACATAAGTGACCAAAACAAAGCAGCATGGAGACACTCCATCTTCTACCACCTCTCAGGCAGCAGCCTGCACTCCCAAGTTCTACACGTCACCAGAACATAACCAACCAACACAATAAACGCAGTGTTATACAAAATGGAAGGCCTGTAGTGTTTATTCTCTTACAGTAACAATTTATCAATTTTTTTGAGGAATTTATTTGAGATTTTCTGGTTTTTGTTAATTGTGCAATAGAAAAATAATCATTAGATTAATTTTCTAAATAGTCATTAGAATAGTCGACTATTCGATAAAATAATCGTCAGAATAATCGTTTTAAAAATAATCGTTTACCCCCAGCCCTACTGGTTCGTTTAATTTAGTGATGAATTGCTCCTGCAGACTCTAAGGAAGGCTGGGGAGACGTTTCAACTTTAGATTAAGGAGATAGGTTTTGTGTTTCGATGCTACAAACTGACACTTTTTGTAAATTCCATCGACTTAGTTTCACTTTTAAAATATCACTGTATGTGTCTCCTATAAGATATATTTAACTGAAGATTTTTATTGTAACAAACAACGATTTATACAGGAAAATCATGAAGATTAACAAGGTTGCCCAACCATTCGCATCCCACAGTAAATTTTGTGACATATCGAAACAATGTCGTAATCAAAGCTAAAAAAGGTCTACCAAAATATTAGCTTGAGTGATCTTTTATTTTGGTGGAGACTTCTGTTTTGGCTGGTCAGTGTAGAAACACTGCTATTAAACTCAGTTCAGAAGAAATCCCTGGATGTACCGTAATTTCCGGACTATAGAGCGCACCTCAATATAAGCCGCACCGGGCTAAAAGCCGCAGATATCCACTGAATTGAAAACGTAGTTTAACTGAACGTAACTGAACTGATCAGTGTCAAACAAAACAGAAAAGTTGTAGATTAGTTTATTCATCGTCCTCCTGCGCACTGAAAACACTGAAGTCATCTTCTTCAGTGTCGGAGTTGAACAGCCTCAGACGAGCTTCGTCACACACCTTTTCTGTGGCGATGTCAGTGTCGCTCTCCGTGTTGCTGTCATCATCCCGGGATGAAGCTGGGAAAACAAGCAGCGCCGTTTTACTGTGAAAAAAAATCCTCCTGGGCGCTTTCCGTAGCGCTCCTTTAACCATTCCTTCATTAGACTTTCCAGCATCCATCCTTTCTGGTTGACTAAAGCCACACCTCATTATAAGCCGCATGGTTCAAAGCGTGTGAAAAAAGTAGTGGCTTATAGTCTGGAAAATACGGTACATTAAAAACAAGTCTTGACCTGTTTGACCCTAACGCCCCCCCAATTGTGGGCCTCTACAGTATCATGTCCTAAACATCTACAACTGTCCACATTCTCCAAACACAACTAAAACCACAATCAAACAGCCCAGATGGGAAACAAGGCCATTTTAAATTGTAATAAATTAAGATACAATGATATTTGAACTTTATTTTAGAAGAGCATCTGACCTTCTCTGGTGTCTGCTGGGAAAAAAAACCCTTGAACAAATTTAGTTGAGGACCCCTGGAATGAATAAAACAACTGACTAAATTTCCTAAATGGAATTTGAACTCACAACCTCCATCCTGTCAGCACTTTATGCACTACGATTAAAATCTGATGTCAGCCTAGATTTGGACAAGTGGGGGGATAGAGGGAGGTGGAGTATACAGTCGGTAAAGACGGCTCTCCCTTGCCCTGCCTCCATCTAAATAGGCTAGGTTATCCAGAGTTATCTCTGTAGTTATGCTGCTATAGGCTTAGACTGCTGGAAGATACACTGACCACTTTTCACACTCTACTGCTTTCTTCTACTATCTGCTCTTTAACTGTATTACTTTCTGCAATTTCAGCTGTTAACTTTATTTTCTCTCTAAGTGTTTTTCTCCCCAGAAGAAGCTACAATGATGTTCTGCTGAGCTGTGGTGGCCTCATGGAGGGGGCCATCGTCTAGCACACTGCTGCTAACCACTTAAACATTCTCCCTCTCCTGATAATAACTTTTTGCTTTCCTTGACGTTGGATGTGCTAATACTAGTTTATCCGTTTAATTATAGATTCACTAGGATAAATACAATAAAATGTATCTCTCACCAAATTGAATATTTACTAAGCTATCACGGTGTAACCATGGACACATTGCTTGGTGTGTGTGTGTGTGTGTGTGTGTGTGTGTGTGTGCTCTGTCTTCTCAATCCCCAGTGAGTCGTGGAGGATGGCTGCTTATACTGAGCCAGGATTCTCTCAAGGTTTCTTCCCATTAAAAGGGAGTTTTCCTCTCCACTGTCGCTATATGCTTGCTTAGTATGAGGACTGCTGTAAAGTCCTTGATGCAATTTGTTGGGTTCCTTATATAGGAAACATTATTTCTGATTGGCTTAATGAACTGACCTGAATTGGAATGTTTATTATGTGAAGTGCCTGAGACGACTCTTGTCGTGATTTGGCGTTTTATAAATAAAATTGAATTGAATTGAACTTTCACACAGGGCTGCTCTTCTAAAATAACATTCAAGTATTATTTTATCTTAATTTATCACAAACCAAAAATTGCTTTGTTTACAATCCAAACTGTTTGGGTTGTAGCTGTAGCTGTGCTCGGGGAATGCTAACAATCACTGACACTTGGGACATGAAACTCCAAAGGCTCCCAATTGGGAGGCTCCAGGCCTATGACCTAAAGGGTTAAAAAGCATGTTTTAATAAGAAGAAGTATTTAATATTCTTAACTGAATGTGAGAGTAAGTAAAAGTAAAAATGTCATCGCTTTGCATTTGTTTTTGTTAATTTGGGCCGGCAATGTTCTATTTCATTTCAAGGTAATCCAGTTAAAATAATAGCATTCATATTAAATATTAGCTTAATGTGCATTGTCGAACATTTTTATCCAAACATCTTCACATTTTTCAGTTCACTTCAAACACTTCAATAGATCATTACGACTACAACACGCACCACCAAGCAGTTGATCTGCCAGGTGGAAGTTAATTATGAACTAAAATGTTTGATACTTGAGTCATTGAATGGTTGAAATCGGTCTGAAGGGTTTGAACTTTGGACGTCAACACACTCTTGGCACCAAATAGACCCAATAATGAACGCCAGCTTCAGATGAACACTTGTGAAACTACTCTGACAAGCCTGATAAAGGTCAAACCAAACACCTAAAATTCACCGATGCTTTTAATCCAAACCGTTATGCTTGACTGAACGTATCAGGAGGAGTGACATCGTTTTCCAGGAATTCAAAGCCTTAAGACGCTATGACCTGAAGATGTAATAGTGTCCAAACAGCTTGTGTTTTCTGCAAAGCATGGATGATTAATTTTTCAACAATTTAACAAATGCTTGCATTTTTTATGAATGCATTCAAACTTGTAATATGTATATAGAAGGTTGACTGTAAGTCTGCAAGTCAAACAATAGGGTGTGTGTGTGTGTGTGTGTGTGTGTGTGTGTGTGTGTGTGTGTGTGTGTGTGTGTGTGTGTGTGTGTGTGTGTGTGTGTGTGTGTGTGTGTGTGTGTGTGTGTGTGTGTGTGTGTGTGTGAGTGTGTGAGTGAGTGAGTGAGAGAGAGAATGGGAGTGTCCTCAGTCAGAGTTACTCTCTTTTTCTGTCAGTAGTTATCACTCCACTAAATGCGTCCTCCGGCGAAAGGCAGTGACACCGGGAGGCTTGAATCTTGAGTTTGTGAAGCAGACAAACATGGATTTGATGGAGCTGATTTTCATCCTCCTTGGAGCAGCTATTTGTGTGTACTACGGATGGAAACTGCTGCTCTTCAGCAGGATGCTTTTTCCAAAGCGATGCTTTCCGCTGTCTGAAACCTTCTTCACATCCATGGGCGACTGGGCAGGTGAGCTCTGTGACTGTGCTGCGTGTCGAACCCAAAGTGCCACTCTGATGCAGCTGATGGTCAGGTCTCTGGGCTGAAATGTACATAATGGATCAAATTCTCACACTTTTTTGTGAAGAAATGTGATTTGTGTGCTCATGTTTTACGTTGTGCTAATAAGCACAGCGACGTGTGATCTGCAAAGAAACTAAACACATCTGTGTACATCAGAAGATTTCCAGCCCAGGCTTGTTTAGACCTCTGACTGTAGTGCAGGACTGCACTTGTGTACTTTTTTAACTATGAAATGCAAGTCCTGACTTTCCTTCTGAGAGCACTTTTACACGCATTTCTACGTCGCACCAACAAGTAAAACCAAGCCTGAAGTTCTGTTCGGGAAGACTCAGATCATCAGAAACTGGAAAAAGGTGGAAATTCGTTAATATAATCAACATTTCACATACAAAGCCTTTCAGGTTTGTTCAAAAGCTATTTAGAACAACAAGTCAAGAGCTATTAACTCCTCCAGCCGGTGCATCAAACCCAACCTGATATTTTCTCATAAATGTCACTTTAACTTTGCGTCAATCGTGAGCACACAGCAAGCTTCGGCTCGCCCTCCAGACCATTTTTCATTGACATTCTGCTGCTGGTCCCAGAACACCCTCCCAAACATTGAGAGATTTACTTTGGCATGCTCTGAAGGGGTCATGCAGTCTCCCACAGTGCTTAAGGAAACCTCTCAACAGAATAGTGGGCTGATTTGTCTTGTAAAGTCCAGTTTCATTCCATTCCAGGACAGAAGAGAACCACGGGGACAACGTGTTCTAGGCTGCACAAACTATATTCATCTGCATCAATTCCCCTCCTGGGAGTTTAAAATCTCATTTGCATAACATGATTGGGCCCAAGATGTGTTTTAATTTTTCTGTTCACACACACTTTTCACATTCGGCAAAAGAGAAGCAATCCGATTGTGTTTATTTAGGCATCAAGAATGTGCCTTTGGTTCATCTACTCATATGATCAGTGGGGAAACTGTATAATATCCAAAACTGCACTTTAAGACATGGAATGTTGAATTTTCTGGAAGCTGCAAAGGCAAATCTGAAAACTCTCACACCTCCCATTGGCTATCATACCTAGGCCACACCCCCATGATACAGGAAAGCATGTTGCCAGAGCAAATGAGAGAGAGCGCTAAATGACCTAGTGGTAGAGTGTCCACCCTGAGACTGGGAGATCAGGGTTCGATTCCTGGTCGGGTCATACCAAAGACTTTGAAAAAATGGGACCCAATGCCTCCCTGCTTGACACTCAGCATTAAGGGGTTGGATTGGGGGGTTAAACCACCAAATGGTTCCCGAGCGCGGCCGTGTCTGCAGCTCACCGCTCCCCCAGGGGATGGTCAAATGCGGAGAACAAATTTTGCACACACACCAGTGTGTGGGACAACTAATGGGACTTTAACTTTAAATGACAAATGGTGTTTTTTCCTTTTAGGACTCTGGTAATTAGCCCAGAAGTTGAAGCGGTAGCATTCGGCTGTTTCTCCTTCTTTGATGTTGAGCGAAAAACCTTTCACACCAGCGGTGTTCTGTTGCAAAACGCGTGAGCAAAATGCAGCGGGACGCCTACTGACTGGCACCAGAAAGCGTGACCATATAACCCCAGTATTAGCATCTCTTTGTTGGATGCCTGTGTACTGCAGGATTCATTTCAAAGTCATCCTCTTTGTTTTTAAATCTCCTCGTGGCTTAACTCCACCATACATCAGTGAGTGATTGTCCATCTACACTCCCGTCAGAAATACGAGATCTAGCTCACAGGTTTTTTTTCTTTTATTGTTCCAAAAACACGTTTTGAAACTCGGGGAGACGGTACTTTCTCTGCGGCACAGAACATACATCATTTCAAAGCATTACTTAAAACATTCTTGTTTGATCTGGCTTTTAATGCACGCTGACTTGCGTAGTTTACAGTGGGGATGGGGGAGCTGCTGACGTCAACTGAGGCTATAGTCGGACGGTGGAAGGAATACTTTGAGGAGCTCCTCAATCCCACCAATGCGCATTCCGAGGAGGAACCAGAGCTGGGAGGCCTGGGGATGGACTGTCCGATCTCGGGGGCAGAAGTTGCTGAGGTAGTCAAACAACTACACAGCGGCGGAGCCCCGGGGGCGGATGAGGTTCGTCCTGGGTATCTCAAGGCTATGGATGTTGTAGGGCTGTCATGGTTGACACGTCTCTACAACATTGCGTGGTCATCGGGGGCAGTTCCTAGGGAGTGGCAGACCGGGGTGGTGGTCCCCATCTTTAAGAAGGGTGACCTGAGGGTGTGTTCCAACTATAGGGGGATCACACTCCTCAGCCTCCCTGGAAAGGTTTACGCCAAGGTACTGGAGAGGAGGGTCCGATCGATAGTTGAATCTCAGATAGAGGAGGAGCAATGTGGTTTTCGTCCTGGCCGTGGAACTGTGGACCAGCTCTATACCCTTGCAAGGGTGATGGAGGGGGCATGGGAGTTTGCCCAACCAATCCACATGTGCTTTGTGGATTTGGAGAAGGCTTATGACCGTGTCCCCAGGGGCACCCTGTGGGGGACGCTCCAGGAGTATGGGGTGGGTGGCTTTCTGTTAAGGGCCATTCAGTCCCTTTACCAGAGGAGCGTGAGTTTGGTCCGCATAGCCGGTAGTAAGTCGGACCTGTTCCCAGTGAGGGTTGGACTCCGCCAGGGCTGCCCTTTGTCACCGGTTCTGTTCATCACTTTTATGGACAGAATTTCTAGACGCAGCCGTGGTGTGGAGTGTGTCGAGTTTGGTGGCAGGAGAATCTCGTCTCTGCTTTTTGCGGATGATGTGGTCCTCCTAGCTTCATCCAGCTCTGACCTTCAGCTCTTGCTGGGTAGGTTCGCGGCCGAATGTGAAGCGGCTGGGATGAGGATCAGCACCTCCAAATCTGAGACCATGGTTCTCGACCGGAAAAGGGTGGCTTGCCACCTCCGGGTCGGGGGAGAGGTCCTACCTCAAGTGGAGGAGTTTAAGTATCTCGGGGTCTTGTTCACGAGTGAGGGTAGGAGGGATCGGGAGATCGACAGGCGGATTGGTTCGGCGTCTGCAGTCATGCGGACGCTGAGCCGATCTGTCGTGGGGAAGAGGGAGCTGAGCCAGAAAGCCAGGCTCTCGATTTACCGGTCGATCTACGTCCCAATCCTCACCTATGGTCATGAGCTTTGGGTAATGACCGAAAGAACGAGATCGCGGATACAAGCGGCCGAAATGAGTTTCCTCCGTAGGGTGGCCGGGCTCAGCCTTAGAGATAGGGTGAGGAGCTCGGACATTCGGGAGGGACTCGGAGTAGAACCGCTGCTCCTCCGGATCGAAAGGAGCCAGTTGAGGTGGTTTGGGCATCTGGTCAGGATGCCTCCTGGACGCCTCCCCGGGGAGGTGTTTCGGGCATGTCCTGCCGGCAGAAGGCCCCCAGGTCGACCCAGGACACGTTGGAGAGGTTACATCTCCAATCTGGTCCGGGAACGCCTTGGGGTCCTGCCGGAGGAGCTGGTGGACAAGGCCGGGGAGAGGACGGCCTGGAGCTCCCTAATTGGGATGCTGCCCCCGCGACCCGGACCCGGAAAGCGGAGGAAGACGAAGAAGACTTGCGTAGTTAACCTCTGTTTTCATTTGACTTGCGTTTTTATCTTATACTCTTTTAGCATTAAATGTACTTTTTACAAATTTTAACCGCACTTTATTCTTGATTGTATTTATTTTTTATCCTTGTTCAGCACTTTAGGGTTGCATGCGTGACTGTAAATGTGCTAAATAAATAAACTTGACCTTGACCTTGAGCACATAATGAATGGGAGGCCTAGGGAAATGCGGAAGAGCGGTGGTGTTGTGAACAGAACCTGAGGACCCGTGACAACACCAAGACACAGTAAGGCGCTTATTAACGTCTTTATTAAAAGAAAACACAACTAGGCGTTAACCAGAGGTGGGCGAGGCTGAGGCAGGGTCAGGAGCAAGCGAGGGTCAAAACCAGAGAGATCTGTGAATGCTACAAGGGGCAGGCGGGAGGCAGAATCCAAAGAATGGTCCGAGGTTGAGAATCCAGGTGGTCAGAGGCAGAGAAAACAATCCAGGCAGGGAGCAGACACATGGGTTGGTCGAGGAACAGAAACGAGGTCATCTATGGTACAGGCAGAGGTTGGAGTGCTGGAGAATTTCCTGGCGCGAGCTTTCAATAATCTGGCACTGGCTTGGTGTTGGTCCTGGTGTTGTATAGAGAGTGTTGCAGGTAGATCTGGTGAGTTAATGCAAGACAGGTGGTTTGGATGAGGTTGATGATGAGCTGGTTGTGGTTGCTGGGAAAACTGGGCTTAGCTGGAGCGGTGGCATGACAAGTGGTGCAGAATGGTCCAGTCGCTGGTTTGGGACCAAGCCGGGTTTTTGGCTGAGATTTTTAGACAAATGCGAGAGAACCACTTATTTCATTCTTTTGTAGTTTTTTTTATCTCCAAAATACTTGTTGGAAAGTTGTTAAGAAGCATGAAAAATAAGCTGTTTTGCAGATTTGCCAATGTATCTTTAATTAACTAGTTTTAGTGGTACTAGTTGACATAGCTTGGCTAAAAAATGGTAAATGGACTAGAACCCCCCAAGACACATTACAACACAATCATTCCTTCACACATTCACACACTGGCTACTAGGTAGCTACAGCTGCCCAGGGGTGCACTGACAGAGGCAAGGCTGCAGAGCACAGGCGTCACCGGTCCCTCCAATCACCACCAGCGGGCAAGGTGGGTTAAAGTTAAAGTTAAAGTCCCATTAGTTGTCACACACACAGGTGTGTGTGCGACATTTGTTCTCCGCATTTGACCCATCCCCTGGGGGAGCGGTGAGCTGCAGACACGGCCGCGCTCGGGAACTATTTGGTGGTTTAACCCCCCGATCCAACCCCTTAATGCTGATTGTCAAGCAGGGAGGCATTGGGTCCCATTTTTTCAGTCTTTGGTACGACCCGACCAGGAATCAAACCCCTGATTTGCCCATGGACACAACGGCAGCATTCCCTGATGGGAGCCGGGATCGATCCCACAACCATCTGATTACCGATTATTAATTAAATTCAACATTTAATTTTGTATTGAACTGCAATAATTATCCTCATGTCCTCTCGCAGCCTGATCACTGACATCATCTACTACTTGCACAATTTTAATCTCTTGTATTCTCCGCCTCTTACGTATTTGGATGTACGAAGAATCTATGATGCTCCTGCTGAGCTCAATCTTTTTCTAAATGGTTCTTTAAATTTCCACAGCTGCACGTTTGGGAAGAGAGCATAATCAACTCATTGTAAACATCTGGGAGCTGGAGGAAGATTTCTGGGACAACAGTGTTCTTAGAGAAATAAAACAGGACATAAATATGGCACATAAGACACATTAAATAAATATAAGTAGCTTTTTTTCCCCACACCAGTCAAACAACCCCCAAATCGAGTCCGACGCCAGGTGTCTTAGCTGAATTAATCAGGCTCTGGCTCAGATTAGCTCCCGTGAAAGCAGAACACATGAGCGCATTTGCTAATTTTCACAAAAGACATGGCTGTCAGGATGTCAAGAGAGGAGGGAGTGCATGATTACAGGAGACAGAAGAATTATTTCATTTTTGTTGCATAACAGATCTGTGTCACGATCTCGGGATGTTTAGGACCCAAATATGCAGAAACCCAGGATGACACGAGGCTGGAGAAGATGTAAAGTAAAATCCTTTATTTTAGGAGTAACCAAAAAAACAAAAGTAATCCAAAAGGCTGGGAGCCAACAGTCCAAAAATCCAGATAGAAATCTGGAGATCTGGAGATCCAAAAATACAAGAGGCACGAGAAGACTTGACAGAATTACAACAAACAATGGACCGACAAGACACTGAGACAAGATAGGGCTTAAATACACAGGGAGGATGAGAGGGAGATGAGCTGCAGGTGTGTGGGGTGTGGGAGGAGGACCAGGTGAAGGCAATGACTAATCAGGGCAGAAACTAACTTGACCTAAGAATAAAACCTAATACAAAAGAGCAGGAAACATAACTACAATTCAAAGGGAGGGGGGAGAAAAATAATAAACACTGATGGGAAAATACATGCTAAATCATGAAAGGCTGTAACTAAAGGAAATGACTTGAGAAACCTAGAGAGCTGGAGATCTAGGGGCAAACGGGGAAAACCAGAAGACACATGAGGGCGCTAGGACACAGAAGGGAATCTAGAGAGGATGGAGAAACACGAGGAGGCACATGAAGGAAGGGGCAGACGCAGACCATGACACGCCGCTGCTTTGCATTAGATTAAAACAGGAAGCAATAAAAATATGATAACCCTTATCTCAAAGGATCACATTACAGTATGTGGTAGGGTCACTGATTCATAATAACATGACTTATAGACTTTGTTTGTTTGATTTTTGGAAACCCTGAAACCAATTAACCAACAACATGCTACGGAGAAACAGACGCTCAGTTATGTCTCTAATCCACTAAATATTTCTCACCTCTAGCATCGATTTATTTTTTATTATTACTACTAATGACATTTTGACAGAAACCAAACCCCAAAAGCAAAACAGATTAAACTGTCAAACAGAGGAGATTGTTATTGTTCTTTTCCCTTTCGTCGTCATCTCCTCCCGGTTACTTGAGAACCTCTAAGGGAAATGTGGTAGATGTGTGTTTCCAGATATTTATCTAAAAAAAAAAAGAGTGAGCTGTGATCAACCTCGCAGTCCGAAATGTTGCGCTGTCATCAGCATCAGCATGCAACTCAAAAACCAACCCAAACATATTACAGTACTGGCCCGAAGTGTTGAGAACGACATAAATATTAAAGGCATCCTTTGCAACTTTTTCATATTTATAAATCATTTTCTTGAGCCAGTATGTGCTAAAATGACGTTTCACAGAGTTAATGAAATGTCACGCAGACCCCACCGCCCTCCGTGGCCAGAATACTGCACTTGTCACTTCAGAGTTGCGGGCCGCTCCCTGTTAGTAAAGTGGAGCTGACATACTTGGCGCTGCAGTCTGCTTCCAGCACATTTCCTACATGTTTTTTAGATCATGCACACAGCTGATGTTTAATTTTGTGATGAACCGCTCCTGTAGACACAAAGGAAGGCTGAGGAGACACTTCAGCTGTTAGATTAAGGTATTAAAAAGAAAAACGCACAGCGAAGAGAAGAGTTTCAATTTTGACTTTACTAATGGACACTAGGGGGTGCTAAAAGCCGAAACTGCAAAAAGTCTCCCTTAACTGTTACATATATAAGGATAAAAACTCAACGATGCTGTAAACATATTTAATGCTAGGCTAAATAGAGATCTGCTATTGGGGCATCCAAGAGGTTTGTGTGTGTGTGGGGGAGGGGGGGGAGGGGGGGGGCACAGCCATCCCTGGAAAATTGTTGTCACAAAGGTTCACAATAGCTGTGTTTTCACTGTGGGAGTCCTAGGAAATTTCTGGTAGGGGGAAATGTGACCAGGGGGTAGGGAAGCTTCTTATTGTTTTTGACCAGAACTATCTGTTAAGTATCCTTTGTCCACATGTTGAGATAGAATGGACACGTTTTTGAGCTTTCTACTTTGAACATCCTTGAAATTTGCTCCAAAGTCTCCAAGCAATAAAAGATGAATTTGTGAATGAAAAAGCATCGCTTCCAGAGGTAGAAAAGTAATCGATTTAAAGTTTGATGATCATAAATGTAGCCTTGAAACTCATGGAGTTGCGTCATATAACCTAATCCAGAGAGAAATGAAGGAGTTGGGTGCATATTTCAAGGAGGCTTCAGTTTGTGCAGCTGGAAAAATAAAGAAGGCTCAGCTTTTCTTTTTCGCTGACCAACATTTTAGACAAAAAAAACAAACAAACTAACACACAGTAATCAATAATTTTTTATTTTGTTCTGTACTGTTTCTTTCAGGTTTGCCATAAGTCAGAAAGAAATAGGAGCGCAGCTCTTTGAAATGAGCTGTTTCTGTCTGTTCTCTGTAAATATTTATCATATCGGAGGAACATGCTGTTTTAGCACAGCTTGTAAGAACAGAATGGGTTGTAGTCAAACATGCAGGGCCTGTGAGTTGTCAGCTTGTGTACAGCGGTGGGAAACAGCGCCCCTAGTGTTTAACGAGGAAAAGTGCAGTAAATTCTTTAAAAACTACGTTTTTCTTTTTTCATTTTAGTGGTGACAGGCGCTTCAGAGGGCATAGGGAGAGCTTATGCATTTGCAGTAAGTGAATAATTGTTTTTGTGTTTTTCATATGAAACTGGACTATTAATGCATATTAATTATGTTTGATCCTTTTATTCAAAGCCAGACTACAAATGTTTCCCTGCACAGGCTTTTCAAAGTCCTCTCCACTATTCTCTTTTAGCTTGCAGAGAGAGGAATGAACGTCGTCATCATGAGTCGAACCAAAGCAACACTGGACCTCCTGGCCAAAGAAATAGGTACGGAAATGTTTGAAGTCGTGCAACATCTCCAGATATAAAATATTGTAAGGATGCCCAATATTAGTTTTATTTACACAGGTGAAGCCACAGGGCAGAAGGTAAAAGTGATAGTGGCAGACTTCAGTTGTGACAACACCTTTAGGGAGATTGAAGAGCAGCTAATGGACCTCAACATCGGGGTTTTGGGTCAGACTTGAACTTCTTTCACTTTTTTACATTTTACGACAAAACCTGGAAATCTAATTACATAGGAAAGCAGAATGTGTGCAAATAATGTGTTTTATGAAGAACATCTCTTCTTTTTTCAGTAAACAATGTAGGCGTGCTACCCTCTATCATCCCTTGTAAATTCCTTGACACAGAGAAGCTGGAAAAGGTCGGTATTACTTTAGTTTAACTTGTTCACGTGAATGTTTCTCTGTTTGATTTAAGACTCTTGGAAAGCTCTGTTGCGCACAAGAAACCCTGATCTAAATCATCCAGGGAATTTGTTTAGCTTAAGAGTTTCACACTGTTTGTACATTTAAACAAATAATCAAATAACTGATGAAGCAGCGTTCATTTGGGTTTCTGTTCAAATGAATGCTCCCCTTTGCTGAATTTACATAAAACATAAAATATAAGTTCCAGGCAACACTGGTGTCCAGCCCTGATCTACAAATCCAAAAATACTTAAAGCTTTGGTTTTATTTTCTTTTTTTCATCTGTATAAAGATTTTGTGTTTCCTGACGCAAGAACGTACTAGCGTACGGGTATTGAGAGATGGACATGGCCTCCTCGTCAATGCTCATACATATCAGCATGTGTTGTCATGGCGGCACTGGCCTGAGGTCCTTCAAAATGAATGAAATTGCTACCTCTACATGCAATCACAGCAAAGAGTAGTAGCAGCACAGGCGCACCGCCCATGAATCGCCCACGCATCACCCACACACCATCCATGAATCGCCCACGCACCACCCATGTATCGCCCACATATCATCCATGAATCGCCCAGGCATCGCCCATGTCACGGCCTTTAAACTTCAAAAAAACGATCTCCAACTAAAGGCCGTTGGTGAGAACGGGTGATTTCCTTTAAGCACGCACTTTTAGACTTGATTTCTTGCAAATTTTATAAATGGTTTATTCTTCCAAAAAAAAAAAAAGTTCAAAATTAATTCAAAATGTTCTACTTTTCATCCAATGAAAATTAACCTTAAATTAAATTATCAGGTCTAAAAAATGGTCAAAAAATCATTTAACCAAATCCTCCCATCTCTCCCGACACTTGGCAAACAAACGTTTTCCACACGCCTCCCCATGTGCTACTAATCAGCTTAATGACTAAGGCGTGTCCAAAAAGTTCACAGCTACATCAATTTACCAAAAAATTAAAAATTAACACATTTAAATTTCAAACTTAACTTATTATAAAAGGAATGATAAGAAATTCTAAAAGAAATTTATAACTAACAGATTTATGCTACTTTACTGAAATGACCACCACATTCTGGCCCCTAATTCATGTTTAACACGGATTACATCCATGCCTCTAACAAGTGGCCATTACAAAATGGATCATTAACATTAACAAACTTAAATTAAACATGTGTTAGCTTTCCTTTTCTCAAACAATTCATTCAAATTTTGACATACAACATTTCATAAAAGGAATAACCCCCCCCCCCCCTTTTTTTTAAGTTGTCCATACATGTCTTCTTAGAACAAAAACAGAAGTCAATGTCCTCTTTTAAGTTCTTTTCATCTTTCTTCAATTTGTGTATGTTATATAATGAGATGTTCAGCAGGTTAGGACCTCATCTTTCACCTCTGAGTCAGTTCCCAAATGAACAGACATCTCTTTAGTGCACACTGGCCAGTGGACCTTGGGTTTGGTGAGAAATTCTGGACCACTAATCTAGGTGGAAGATTTTAGGAAAGCGTCAACCTTCATGCCACGAGAAGCTGCATCAGCTGGATTCAACTTTGAACTGATGTATGTCCACTGAGAAACCTTTGTCAGAGCACGGATGATGGAAACTCTGTTAGCTACATAGGTCTTAAACCTGGTTGTTGTATTTGCAAGGTACTGTAAAACAGTTGTGCTGTCAGACCAGAAGACTGATTCAGTCAGATCAAGTCCAAGTTCACTTGACAGCATGTTGTCCATGCATACAGCCAAAACTGCAGCAGCAAGTTCAAGGCGTGGTATAGTGACTTGTTTTAATGGAGCCACCCTTGCTTCACCCATAACAAAAGCAACACACACCTCTTATTTGTCATTAGTTAGCCTAAGGTAAGAGACAGAACCATATCCAGCCTCACTAGCGTCACAAAAGTGGTGCAACTGGGCACTTTTTATCTCTCCAAATCCATTGGGTGTGATACATCTTCTGATAATAAACTTATCAAGAAGAACCAAATCCTCAACCCATCTCTGCCAAGTTTGTACCATTTCTGCTGGTATTTGTTCATCCCAGCCAAACTTCATTCTACATAAATGCTGCGGAATTTGTTTTGCAGGGAGAATGACAAAAGCCAAAAAAAAACCAAAGGGTCGTAAACGGAGCTAACATTGGACAAAATGCCTCGTCTTGTATGTGGCTTGGGCTTTTTCACGATGCCAAAAGAGAAAACATCATGTTCAACATCCCACCGCATTCCTAGGGCTCTTTCTGTGGGAAGCTGGTCCTGACTAAGATCTAGTGTCTTTACACCTGCGGCTCTGTTTTCCTCTGGGATCTGAGAAAGAACAGAGCGATCACTACATACCCACTAATTGAGCATAAATCCCCCGTTTGCACACACTTCTGTGAGTTGCTGATAGAGGGCGATGGCCTGCTCAACAGAGTTGACAGATTTAAGACAGTCATCTACATGGAAACTCTGTCTGATGGTGTTTATAACCTCCTCTGGATAGAGATGTTGGTTGTCATCAGCAGTTTTCAATAATGCATAAGTTGCACAGCTGGGTGAAGATGCTGCACCAAAAATGTGGACCAACATTCTATGTTCTGCCAGATCTTTTGTCGGATCGCCATCAGGCCACCATGTTCCTTAGCTACTCTCACTTGGTGGAACATCCCTTTTATGTCTGTCATAAGGGCTATTGGACCTTTTCTAAAGCGAATAAGTACGCCTATTGAGTTGCTAGTCAAATCTGGTCCTTGCAATAGCTCTTTATTCAGTGACGTTCCAGCAAAGGTTGAGGCACAATCATACACAACACGCAGTGTTTTCTTGCGGGGGTGGTAAACCCCATGATGAGGTATATACCACACTTTTCCCTCTTCATGTTCTAACTGATCTTGTGGTATGATTTATGAATGTCCCTCCACATTAACATTATGCATAAACTCTTTGTACTCTTCAAAGAATAAAGGATCCTTCTGGAACCGTCTTTGCAGACATTGCGCCCTCTGCTGTGCTACCCGCTTGTTGTCGGGCATTTTTACTTCAGATTTTCGAAAAGGTCATTTTAAGTAATAATGGCCATCTCTTAGCACAGCTGACTTTGACATTATGTCCATGAACTGCTCGTCTTCTACCGACATTTCTGCACTCTCATCACACTGGTGCTCCACAAAATCTTGATTGTACTGTTTAACCAGTATTTCTTCCAGAATACTAATAGAGGTACGATTTACCTGAATAGAACCAGTTTCATGCTCCATCTTTCCATAACCAATGTTGAGTGGACCATTAACAACCCAACCAAGGCGAGTTAGCATAGCGTAAGGCCCATTACCTTCACTGTTAACTACTTTCCAAGGTTCCAAAGCTTTGGGTGAATTTACACCAATAAGCAGCCCAATGCCAGCATCTATTGGTGTCAACTCAACATCCTTTAAGTAAGACCATTTTCTTAAGTCCTCCTCTTTAGGGATATTTTCTTTGGTGACAGGAATGGATCTTTGAGTATACATATCAGGCAACCTTAAATACTCATTTTCTTTTAAAGCAGCTACTTCCAGACCAGAGAGTTTATAGCTACTAACAGGTCTTTCCTGACCCATGCTTTTTAACATGATTTCAACTTTCTTTCCAGGTGCATTTAACTGCATCATTAAAGCTTCAGTACAAAATGTTGCAGAGCTGCCCGGGTCAAGAAAGGCATAAGTCTCAACAACCTTTGTACCATTTTCCAACTTTACTTTGACCGGAACCACTGACAAAGCACATTCATTAGGACCGGCCCCAGTATGGCTACCCAGGTTCAAAGATAACAAGAGCATTTGAAACTGATGATTCTTTACTTTCAGTCTTAAATGCTTGCCACTGTTCTTTAGATTCTATGTGCAGAACCGATGGGTGAGTTTTATGACAGGTGTGACATTTCAGACGCTCTGGACAGAGTTTACTCATATGACCCTTCTGTAAACAACCAAAGCACAAACCTTTACTCTTAAGGAATTCCACCTTTTCTTTGTTTGCTTTCTGCTTGAATAAATCACATTTTTCAATAGAATGACTGCTGTTACAAAACAGGCACAGAGTTTGAACACAAACTTTATCTTTATGGTTTAACCAAATCTGTTCCAAATTCTGTTTGTTACTGTTCTGTTCTGAAACTTCAGCAACAGAAGTAGCAAAGCTGCTGTTTTTAGTTTTAAAAGGTGCTTTTGACGGTTTTGCACTCTTTTCTTTTGAGTTTTGACTTTCTCCAAAAACTGGGTCTAATGCAGCTTTTGTTTGCTTTTCAAGAAAATCAAGAAAATCTTTGAAGCTTGCTCTGCGATTGCACTTTTCTGCGATGTCAACAACCATTATTCGCCACTTATCTCGAAGTCTGAAGGAAAGCTTCGAAACAAGAATCCTCATATTGGTTGAGTTTTCTAGCTCATCGATAAACCCAGCTTCATTCATTGAGTTGAAGCAGCCTCTTAAAAACAATGTGTAAGCTCTTAATGCTGTAGCATCATCGGACTTTATAACGGTCCAATTTAGAGCTTTGTCCACAAATGCAGAATTTATTTTTGCTCTGTTACCAAAGTTCCACTCTAGCTGCTTTTTTGCCTCGACATAAGCGGTTTGTGGACTCATGTGCATGCAACTTTTCACCAGTATTCGGGGCTGTCCTGTGGTAAACGGCTCTAAATAATAAAGTCTATCCTGCATGTTATCTGTTTTAGCTTCTATTCCTTGCTAAAAAGCTTTGAGAAAAGATCTAAAATGCGAAGGATCACCACTAAAAACAGGAATCTCAAGAGATGGAAGCAGTGACAGTCTTTGTTGTTTTACAAGCATCTCAGTTATCTCATTTTGCTTTTTCATAATGTCTGTTAAAGCACCGCAGTGAACATCAGCCTGAGAAGAGATTTGCTTTGGACTTTCCCCTTCAGGTTTAACTTGGGCAGGTGCTGGTGTCTCTAGAGGCATCGGCAAAGGTGATTGAGCCAAAGGTGTTTTTCGAGTTCTTTGAGCCTTTTGAGCTGTTACAGCAGCAGGTATGAACTCAGTAGATGTTTCAGAGCAAGCTGTACCCTTGCTTTCTGATTCGGCTTTAGCGTTGGAATCCTGGCTCTGCTGATCCTGTAAAGAGGAATAAATTTGCATTCTTGCATCAGCGGTGCGTAACTTGGTTCTTAAAGTCAGCGCTTCTTTACGTGCTTTTAACTGAACTTCTTCTAATGAATGTTTTTCTTTCAATGCGTCCGCCTCTGCCTTCAGAGCGGCTCTTTCCAGCTCTGCTTCCATTAGCGCCATCGAAGCTGCACGGGAGCTTTTACTCCTTGCACTCGAAGCTTTACTAACAACACTGGGTGCTATATTGGAGTTCTTGCTGCATGGTGTTGCTGCACTAGAATCCAGCTTCTCAGAACGCTTGCTGGTCGCAATTTGCGAGACACTGCCCTCCGGTCCAATGTCAATAGCAGGAGATGCCCCTGGCTGCAGATCCGGCTCTGAATTCATCCAAGCATCAATTTCCTCAATAAATTCCTTAAAACTGATCAGTTTAGGTTCAAACCAATCCCCTTGATCAGTTTCTTTTTCATCATCATTCAGCAGCCTTTGAACAGCATTTTGTAAATCCATAAACTCTCCCAAATAATTGTTAAATGTTTTCATGTGTTCATCTATGGAGGTCGTTGATTCTCCAGCATCAATGAGAGCATGTATGTCATTTATTTTTCTTTTCAGAACTCCAAGTTTTGCTCTGCGTCTTTTAATTAAATTAAAAAGCTCTCGTTCATTTTGAATTTCGTCCTCTTGAACATCCATTTCTGAAAAAGTTTCTTTCATCAGGTTCAACAGTTCATAGTCCAGCACAAATGCTTCAGCTCTGCTCATTTACTCACAGACTTTGTGCGCCATCCTCTTCCAGTCCATTCTGTGGAGATCAAGCCATCAAAGTCCTTCCAATCTTCCAATCTTCCAAGACGACATCCAGCAACTTCAAATGATTTTTTGACTTAAGTGTCACGGCCTTTAAACTTACAAAAAACAATTTCCAACTAAAGGCCGTTGGTGAGAACGGGTGATTTCCGTTAAGCACGCACTTTTAGACTTGATTTCTTGCAAATTTTATAAATGGTTTATTCTTCCAAAAAAAAAAAAGTTCAAAATGTTCTACTTTTCATCCAACGAAAATTAACCTTAAATTAAATTATCAGGTCTAAAAAATGGTCAAAAAAATCATTTAACCAAATCCTCCCATCTCCCCCGACACTTGGCAAACAAACGTTTTCCACACGCCTCCCCATGTGCTACTAATCAGATTAATGACTAAGGTGTGTCCAAAAAGTTCACAACTACATCAATTTACCAAAAAATTAAAAATTAACACATTTAAATTTCAAACTTAACTTATTATAAAAGGAATGATAAGAAATTCTAAAAGAAATTTATAACTAACAGATTTATGCTACTTTACTGAAATGGCCACCACAGCCCACACACCGTCCATGAATCGCCCACCCATCGTCCATGAATTGCCCACGCATCACCCACACACCGTCCATGAATTGCCCACATATCGTCCATGAATTGCCCACGCATCACCCACACACCGTCCATGAATTGCCCACCCATCGCCCATGAATTGCCCACATATCGTCCATGAATTGCCCACGCATCACCCACACACCGTCCATGAATCGCCCACCCATCGCCCATGAATTGCCCACATATCGTCCATGAATTGCCCACGCATCACCCACACACCGTCCATGAATCACACACACACCGTCCATGAATCGCCCATGCATCGCCCACACACCGTCCATGAATCGCCCACACACCATCCATGAATCACCCACACACCGTCCATGAATTGCCCACCCATCGCCCATGAATTGCCCACATATCGTCCATGAATTGCCGACGCACAATCCATGAATCACCCACACACCGTCCATGAATTGCCCACGCATCGCCCACACACCGTCCATGAATCACACACACACCGTCCATGAATTGCCCACGCATCGCCCACACACCGTCCATGAATCACACACACACCGTCCATGAATCGCCCATGCATCGCCCACACACCGTCCATGAATCGCCCACACACCATCCATGAATCACCCACACACCGTCCATGAATCACCCACACACCGTCCATGAATCGCCCACGCATCGCCCATGAATCACCCACACACCGTCCATGAATCGCCCACGCATCGCCCACACACCATCCATGAATCACCCACACACCGTCCATGAATCGCCCACGCATCGCCCATGAATCACCCACACACTGTCCATGAATTGCCCACGCATCGCCCACACACCGTCCATGAATCACCCACACACCGTCCATGAATTGCCCACGCATCGCCCACACACCATCCATGAATCACCCACACACCATCCATGAATCACCCACACACTGTCCATGAATCACCCAAATATCGTCCACAAATTGCCCACGCATCGCCCACACACCGTCCATGAATCACCCATGAATCGCCCACGCATCGCCCACACACCATCCATGAATCGCCCACACACCGTCCATGAATTGCCCACGCATCGCCCACACACCATCCACGCATCGCCCACACACCGTCCATGAATCACCCACACACCGTCCATGAATTGCCCACGCATCGCCCACACACCGTCCATGAATCACACACACACCGTCCATGAATCACCCACACACCGTCCATGAATCGCCCACGCATCGCCCATGAATCACCCACATATCGTCCACAAATTGCCCACGCATCGCCCACACACCGTCCATGAATCACCCACACACCGTCCATGAATTGCCCACGCATCGTCCACAAATTGCCCACGCATCGCCCACACACCGTCCATGAATCACCCATGAATTGCCCACGCATCGCCCACACACCATCCATGAATCGCCCACACACCGTCCACGAATTGCCCACGCATCGCCCATACACCATCCATGAATCACCCACACACCGTCCATGAATCGCCCACGCATCGCCCATGAATCACCCACATATCGTCCACAAATTGCCCACGCATCGCCCACACACCGTCCATGAATCACCCACACACCGTCCATGAATTGCCCACGCATCGTCCACAAATTGCCCACGCATCGCCCACACACCGTCCATGAATCACCCATGAATTGCCCACGCATCGCCCACACACCATCCATGAATCACCCACACACCGTCCATGAATTGCCCACGCATCGTCCACAAATTGCCCACGCATCGCCCACACACCGTCCATGAATCACCCATGAATTGCCCACGCATCGCCCACACACCATCCATGAATCGCCCACACACCGTCCATGAATTGCCCACGCATCGCCCATACACCATCCATGAATCACCCACACACGTCCATGAATCGCCCACGCATCGCCCACACACCGTCCATGAATCATCCATGAATCGCCCACGCATCGCCCACACACCATCCATGAATCGCCCACACACGTCCATGAATTGCCCACGCATCGCCCACACACCATCCATGAATCACCCACACACCGTCCATGAATCGCCCACACACCATCCATGAATCACTCACACACCGTCCATGAATCACCCACATATCGTCCATGAATCGCCCACACACCATCCATGAATCACCCACACACCGTCCATGAATCACCCACATATCGTCCATGAATCACCCACACACCATCCATGAATCACCCACACACCGTCCATGAATCACCCACACACCATCCATGAATCACCCACACACCGTCCATGAATCACCCACACACCGTCCATGAATCACCCACACACCGTCCATGAATCACCCACATATCGTCCATGAATCACCCACACACCATCCATGAATCACCCACACACCGTCCATGAATCACCCACACACCATCCATGAATCACCCACACACCGTCCATGAATCACCCACACACCGTCCATGAATCACCCACACACCATCCATGAATCACCCACACACCGTCCATGAATCACCCACACACCGTCCATGAATCACCCACATATCGTCCACAAATTGCCCACGCATCGCCCACACACCGTCCATGAATCACCCACACACCGTCCATGAATCGCCCAGTTCTGTTCTTTCAGGAATCCTCCCCCTCCATTTGTTTTATCATTTGCTAATATCAGTGTCACCCTTACAAAACGCTACACATCCTCTCTTAAACATATTAGATTTTATATTATCAGATGATCAGTGAGTCCCAGGACAGCTGTGGCTACACCTTCAGCATGTGAATGTGTGTGTGAATGGATGAATGATACACTGTAGTGTAAAGCGCTTTGGAGTCCTCTGACTCTAATGTGGGTCATTTATCATTTATTACCTCCTCATATGTGTCAGTAAATAGAAAATTAATTAGATGCCTTTTTTGTCATTTCAGACTATAACAATGGTGATAAACTGCAATGTGAAAACGATGATGAAGGTAAGGTTTGAAATAATTATCACACTTTTCTGTAAAATAAAGGAGTATCAGCTAATTTCCCTCATTTCTATAATTTACATCTCCCTAGACCATGTGTATTGTAAATCCCTTTAGATTAAAGCATCTGTCAAAAACATAAATGGTGTTATTTCAAAGTTGAAAATAATGAAGTGAGGTGTTTTAATTCTGTCAACAATTTCACCTAAATCTTATATTATCTTTTATTTATCTGCAGATGTGCAAAGTAGTCCTTCCAGATATGGAAAAAAGGTTTCCTACCAATGTTTTCTTCATTAGATGTAATGTTTAAAACAGTTGACTCCACATACTGAGTCTCTATGAGTTTGCAGGAGCTGATTTCTTTTTCGGTCTCTGTAGGAGAAAAGGGCTGATTGTCAACATTTCATCAGGGATCTCTACTTTCCCGTTCCCTTTGTACACTCTTTATGCTGCGTCAAAGGTAAATCCTGCACCAGATAATCCTCTCTCCTCTTTTTTTAGATAAATGTTATATTTTTATCTTGTGCATTTGTAGGTATTTGTGGAGAGATTTTCTCGATGTTTGCAAGCGGAATATGAATCAAAAGGGATCATTATACAGGTAATCTGACTTTGCTTTAAAAGGACATTCCACTCCTAAGTGAAATTTAGTGGGAAAAAAGCATTTTGTAACCATCCCAGTCATTCTGAGAGTATTCCATTTGCTTTAGCTTAGAATAAACAATGTTAGTGAATGGTAACAGCAAGCATTCAGTGTGATGAATCAATCAATCAATCATCAATCAGATTTTCTTTATGAAGCACTTTTCAAGCAAAAGTGCAACTCAAAGTACTTTACAGAATTAAAATGACCCCAAATTCCCATGACAGTTTAAAAGCATTGACACACACACTCACACACACACACACACTAACACACACATACACTCACATACATACACTGAGCTGGGGAATGACACACACACACCGAGCTGGGGACAAAGAGGCTGGAGCTACAACTGGAGGGGCTGGGGATGACCTGAAGGGCTACAAACAGAAGACACATAAATGAGACGCAGACAAAGGACACATGAGGGCGCTATGAAACACAAAAGGGGAATCTAGAGAGGGATGGAGAACATCAGGAGACACATGGGGAAAGACGCAGACCATGACAATTATTAACCCTCCCACTGTCCTAATGGGTGTGACCCCGCAAGGAAAGTTGACCATTGAGCAGGGTCCACATGGCAGGGGTGAGGAGTGAGCACCACCTCACCCCTGCCACGTGGACCTCAAGGTACAAACCATCAATCCTGCTCAATGGTCAACGTTCCTCACGGGGTCACCCATAAAGACAGTGGGAGGGTTAAATAATAAAACAATGCTAAAATATAATCATGTAAAATGAGTAATTAAACCATAATAAATTATTAGTTAAAAGCTAACCGAAATAGGTGGGTCTTGTGCTTGGCCTGTGGCCCTGAGGTTGTCTGGCAGCTCGTTCCAGAGGCGAGGGCTGTAATACTGGAAGGACGCCTTGCCCTGAGTGTGTGTCCTGACTTTAAGGATAATCAGGAGACGCCTGCCAGAGGAGCGCAGAGGCCATGAGGGTTCATATGATAAAAGCAACTCTGAGAGATAAGAAGGCCCAAGACCATTAAGACACTTAAAACCCTTAAAAGAACCTTAAAATCGATCCTGAAACATACGTAGAGCCATGCAGGGATTCTAAAACTGTCAAAAATTATAATCATTATTGAGTTATTTTAATGATTTTTCACACAAAATGCTAGCTGCTACCATTCACTTACATTGTTTATGCTGAGCTAAAGCTAACGGAATGCTGCCAGATTAGGAGACTGACAATAGGAAAAGCTTCCTCCCGCACATCTAACTCTGGGGAATATGGTAACAGACTAAACTTCTCTTAGGAGTGAAATAGGAAGAGGTTAGTTCTTCAGATGTTGTAAAAGCTCCTGGTTTTATTGATTTTTTCTCAGGCCGTGGTTCCATTTGGGGTCTCCACGCGCATGGCGGGTTACCAGAAAACCAATATGGTGACTCTGTCCCCAGAAGACTTTGTTAAAACCTCCATGCAGTACCTGAGAGCTGGAGACAAAACACACGGCAGCATCTGCCACACAGCTCTGGTAAGATTTTGATGTCGGTGTCGGTACAGGATCTGCTCGGGTGCCAGATCGACTTTTTTTCAGTCATTGATTTTTTTAATGCTTTTAATTGTATACAAATAAATTGGAAATTTCAAATTCAATTCAATTCAATTCAATTCAAAAATACTTTATTAATCCCAGAGGGAAATTGATTGCTGTAGTAGATCAGAATAATAATAATAATCAAGTCATCAAAGAGTTGTTGTATATTACAATGGCTGTTGGCAGGAAGAATCTCCAGTAGCGGTCAGTGTTGCAGTGAAACTGAAGAAGCCTCTGACTGAAGACACTCTTCCGTTGTCGGACAGTCTTGTGAAGAGAATGCTCAGGGTTGTCCATCATTGTCTTGATTCTCTGGAGAATCCTTCTTTGCATTATCTCCTCCAGTGGTTCCACAGTCATCCCCAGAACAGAACCAGCCTTTTTTATTAGGCTGTTGAGCCTTTTCAGGTCCCTGCTTCTGATGCTACTACCCCAACAGACGATGGCTGAAGAGATTACACTCTCAACAACAGACTCGTAGAAGATCTGCAGCATCTTGCTACAGACATTGAAGGACCTAAGCGTCCTCAAGAAGTGCAGTCTGCTGTGTCCCTTTTCTTAAGACGCTAGAAGAAAAAATATCCAAAAAAGGCAAAACTTACATGTAGTTAACAGAGCTACTCCAACATGCAGCCACCCAGAGCAGCGCGAGAATGGAATGGAAAATTTGCAACCTTAGGTGGTGTATTTAAATAGTTATGGAATTCTTTGAGTATAACATTGAATGTTCAATGTTGGTTGGTACTTGCCTTTCAGTATCCAATAAATACTCCCAGGCAGAACAACATAAATTAATTGTGATTATTTATATTATATATATTATATATTATACTGAAATAGATTTTTGAAATGGGAAAACATTTTTGGGGAAATACATTCATATTGCCAAGAAAAATGTGAAGTTAAAGCAAAAACATCAACTGATAAATGGAGACCTTGATCAACTCAAATTTTGATGAAATGGATTGAAATATTAAACATAAAACATAACTAACAAAATATAAAGAGGAGTTCAACATTCATACAAACCAACAGAGGTGCTAATTATGTAAATACATTTTAGAAAATATTTTGGCGCTGACTGATCTTCATTTTATGTAGTTGCACATTCTTTACTAAATGAATACAATATGGTGTTTTATTTTACAAATGCCATTATAAACACAAATTTATGTGGTAAGAAACATTATTTTAATAATGAAACTGCTAAATTCTTTCCAAAACCTGAGTGAAAGAACAGTATAAAGATGTGTAGTGTATTTTGTCCGATTGGATTTGCCGTACTTTCACGTCATCGGCAGTCGAAGGACCCCGAGCCGATCTGGACCCTGAGCAGATCCTGTACCGACACCGGCGCTGAATGTCAATGGATGGATGAATTTAATGAATGTTTCTTGTTGTGGGTGCAGGGTTGGTTGATGCAGTGCATTCCCCTAAAGGTCCTCCATTCTGAATTTCTGCTACAACACATGCAATATTACGTCAAGAAGAAAATGACAAAGAAGCAATTGATGTCTGCAAAAACGGCACCGTCTGAAAACAGAAAACACTAAATACGATGTGACTACAGCGTTAGTTATGGACCTTTTGAATGTTTGTTTTGTGGGTTTATTTTTAGCGTGTGCGATCATAGTGGACCATTTTTACTGTAATGCAGGTAACAATCAAACGAGATGAATGAAACAGGGTTTAGGGGTCTGCAGCTGCAGCACTGAGGCCACATGCAGTGGCTCTTTTACCAAAATAAAAACAGAAACGATTTCTCTTCGTAGCCACAATAAGAAAGCTAGTTTTAGCTGTTTTCTCCTCTGATTTTACGGAAATTTGTGACTGAAATTTCTGATGCTAATAATACTAATAGATCGTTATTCCAACTTGCAGTCATACGTGCTTTATTTTATTCTACCACAAGAATTAAACATTTTAAAGCTTATTTATGCTAAATGATAAAGTGCAAGGTTTGCACTAGAAGGAAGATTATATGAAGGAAGGTCTTTTTAACTTTAGAAGGAATTATGTAAATCTTGGTGAAACTGAACCAAATTTTATGTTCAATGTTATTTCCTAGGATACAAACTCTTTTATTTTGAATGTGGATATTAATGATTCTTCCACAAATATAGAAACAGTTCAGATATACATGTACGGTGTAGGACATCACTTAGAAAATTACTACATTGACTCAGGAAAAACTTTGCCAGATAAAACAGATTCAGGAGAACATTCTGTTGGTGGCACAGATGCCAGAGGCAGTTTGACCTCATGGCCGACGGTGGTAGACGTCCTAATACGAACACCGTATACGTACAGGTGAAACTTGAAAAATTTGAATATTTGGTAAAAGTTTATTTATTTCAGAAATTCAACTTAAAGGGTGAAACTTATATATCAGATAAACTCATGCCAAGCAAAGCCAGATGTTTCAAGCCTTTATCTGTTATAATTGTGATGATCATGGCTTGCAGTCAAGCCCCCACAATGCGGGACAGAAATTGAGGCCAATGCGGAAGTGAAATAAATTGCAGTTCCACCCTCATCCGCTGGGGGCTGGTGTCAGAAGCGAGTAAATCCTCTTTGACTCCCATGTTAAAAATACCAATTTCACAGCAGAAATAAACATGTTTACAGCCTGGTACCAAATCATGTTTTTGGTTTAAATTATCTAGTTTACACTCAACTCTGAGGGGGGTGAATTTTTTTCTCACTCTTCTGTTTAAGTGTATCAAAAGCCTAAAATTCTGTATAGTTAATGAGCATCAGACCCACGTGACCACAGAGCTAGCTCCGGGGAAAGGCCTCAGCCTGAAAACTGTTCGGTCATTTTCAGTCTCTCAACTTAGACCAGTAGTTGTAGCGTTTGTGTTTTCTTTTTTGGATATTATTTGTGCAATTGTTGGACAAAATGACTTGCTGTGGCATTAATTGCACTAATAGAGCGTCCAAGGAGTCTCCACTTCATTTTTTCGGTAAGTAAAATTATATTTATGTATTTTAGGTCACTGCCGAGCTGAGCTTAGATTTTAACATGTACTGTTTAACCATGAAATTTAAATGTAATAGGGTAAAACCCAGTGCATTTAACATAATGCTGCACTTTAGAAAATGGGTTGAAATACAACACGTTGGTGGAGCTGGGTTCCGACTATCGGCTTGTGGAGCTCTCAGGAGACTTCTGTTTTCCACCTGGTTCTCCCCTCCCCGCAGCTCGGCACATCTCTGTCTGATTGCGGCTCCTGTCTGCTGCGCGGGCTGCCGGCTTGTGGAGCTCTCGGGAGACCTCTGTGTTCCACCCGGTTTTACCCAGCGGTCAGCCCGGCGTATCTCTGACTCAGAAGCTCTGGTGTTGTGCACAGTTAACTCTGGTTGTAGCTAGGTTGCTACCTCCGTTAGCTTAGCTCCCACCTCCACGTTAGCTTTGGGTTAGCTTCAGGTTAGCTTGTAGCTAGTTCGACTGGTGTCATCAGTTGATCCCAGCCTTACAGCCCCACCCTCAGCTCCACCCCTCTTCCCTTTTGTGGAATTGTCTGGGCTTGACGGAACCTGTGACACGGTCAAAATGGCGGTGGTGGCCACCTCCCAGTTCTCCTCAAAAACGTGTTATTGGAGCCTATGGAAATGAATTGTCCAGTATATATGTCGATGCTTGCAGCTTATGAAATGGCAAGAATTCAAAATCTCAGAAATGTCGGAAAATTTGAATATTGTGAAAATAATCAACATTCTACGCTCAAAGTGTCACACTCTGATCAACTAATAGGTCCAAAACACCTGCGAAGGGTTCCTGAGCCTTTAAATGGTCTCTCGGTCTAAGCCGTATCACTGAAACAAATAAACTTTTGCACCATATTCTGAGAGTTCCAGTTTCACATGTATGTGAAAAGACATTTCTATTGTTCAAACCTGCAAAGACCCTAATTGCACCTCTAGAATAATGTTTTTTTTATAACAAAGGGAAACAACTTGTTCATTTGGTTGATAATAAATGTTGCAGATGCCAGAAGAACTCTCTTGCAGTTCCATATTTAAACACTAGAAGTGCTGTTTCTGACAACTGTGTAAATCACTAACCTCACCCGTGACCCCTGATTTAATTCTGTATTCAAACATGCACTAAAACAAACTGTTCCTAAATGTATGTCCATGTTTAGAAAGACTGAAGACTGTTTTCTTTTTTCTGTAAATGTAAAATGCTTTGATGACATCTTTGCTTAATGCACAATATTCCTTCTGATGTAGCAATTTTTTCAACTTATAAAACCTCACTTATTGTAATATTTAATTGTACAAATTGTTTTTATGCTTTTCTGTATTTGAGCATATTTGTGTGTTGTATATGGAAAATATGGAAATAGGGTGTCCTCGATAGTCATTATCACATTTAAGTTGCTTCCTTGTTCATTTACACCTGACATCAACATCTGCAAAATCCTTTAAATCACCTACTGATAAAGGCAGGCGTGTTGAAGCAGAGAAACCTCCAAAGCATGTTGAATATGGACCCTGGAGAAACAGGGTTGGGCACCACTGATAAAGGCTAGACGTGATCAACATTTCATAATTAAATTTGTGATGATTCAAAAGAAAAATAAATGAATGAACCAGAAAATTAATTAACAAATAAGCATTTAATCTGTCTGTCATCGTATTTTAACACATCATCGGGCTAAAATGCAGTAAGTAAATGTTTTCTACATGTTTTAAAGGTGCTGGATGTAAAAATGAAGTAAGAGTGACATCCTGTGGTCACATTTCAGTACTGCAGTCCGTTTATAAAAAAGTGATTTGGTCACTTCTGTTGGATGGCTGTTACCATTTACGGATCATCGCCAGAAGATTCTGGACAATCAAAGACAAGTTATATGCAGTATGTTGATCAAACCAAGTTGAGAAAAATTAGATAGAGATTTTTTAGAGCCAAATATTTGTTGTTAAATTACTGTTAGCATTGATAGCTAATAGTTAGCCTTGATAGCTCAACGTTAGCCTTGATAGTTCAATGTTAGCCTCTAGCCTTCTCTATCTAATATTCAGATAAAACAAAAAGATGCTATAAATTCTTAAGGTTTCAAGAAAAAACCAGTCTTGCTTCTGTAACTGGCTTAGGATCTTTACACTGGCGTTTACAATCTGACACTGGCCGGCAAAGAGCAACACAGATTGTGAACAAAGCCTTCAGCCTTTTCAAACAGAGAAAAACTGGCCTCCACCCAGCTGACTGAGAAGTAAATACGTTTCAATGTAACCTTCCAGCCAACGTGATTGAGACATTCAACTGTTTTGTAACAATTTTACTCGAAATTTCTTACTTCTTTTACCCTTAATGTCATTAATGGGTAGTGTTGGTGTCTCATTATCATGTGTTTTGTAGAGAGCCATTATGGGTCTAGTGTCTTATCTATAGACCTGCATGTTCTCACTCCCACACAAACATTAATATTGCACAATAGAAACACAGAAAAGCACCACTCACTGTGATCAGCATCCTCTAAGTTTATGAGCTTTGACCCATTTCCAGAGGAGCCACATAGATCTGGCTGTAATTTAGCTCGCTGCTGCTGACGTTGTTCACGGAAAAGATACAAACACGTCTCGTCTTTTATCTGCATCTACATATTCAGAAGCAGACAATAATTTGTGCTGCAAAGATGTCTGCCTAAGGAGTGTTCATGGGGTACAAGTGTGTTTAGACAGCCATGATGTATGATCCTCCCTCTTGAGAGATAGTTGGTGGGAGATAGGGGGGAGATGGCGGGAGGGAGGGAGGGGGGGGGGACGGTCAGAGTGACCCTGATCTCAGAAGATCCGTGCCTGAGCTGACTGTTTAAGACACAAAGAGAGAGACGTTTTATCCCAAACGATAAGCAATGACATGCTTTTAAAGCATAAAAACAAATAACACAGCAACAATAAGGATTTAGAGGTTCAAAGATCATGGGAAAGCGAACAGTTTAAAGATGTTCAGTTAAAAAATGCTATATTACCGAGAATATTCAGGTGGGATTATGAAATTTCACCCTTGCTTTCTAAATGGTTCTTGAAGGGAATTTGACTGCTTGATATAAAGAAAAAAATAGATGATTTAAATTTTTTTTATTATGACTTTCAAATTGAAAATAAACTAAAAATTAATTCTGTTGCACATTATGAACAGATTTTCATGTTGAGAGCGCAGGAGGATTGGACCCAAAATGCAGATACCAGAACGACTCAAGAGTTTAAGCATCTCAGGGTCTTGTTCACGAGTGAGGGTAGGTGGGATCGGGAGATCGACAGGCGGATTGGTTCGGCGTCTGCAGTGATGCGGACGCTGAGCCGATCTGTCGTGGTGAAGAGGGAGCTGAGCCAGAAAGCCAAGCTCTCGATTTACCGGTCGATCTGCGTCCCAATCCTCACCTATGGTCATGAGCTTTGGGTAATGACCGAAAGAACGAGATCGCGGATACAAGCGGCCGAAATGAGTTTCCTCCGTAGGGTGGCCGGGCTCGGCCTTAGAGATAGGATGAGGAGCTCGGACATTCGGGAGGGACTCGGAGTAGAACCGCTGCTCCTCCGGATCGAAAGGAGTCAGTTGAGGTGGTTTGGGCATCTGGTCAGGATGCCTCCTGGACGCCTCCCTGGGGAGGTGTTTCGGGCACGTCCTGCCGGCAGGAGGCCCCCGGGTCGACCCAGGACACGTTGGAGAGGTTACATCTCCAATCTGGTCCTGGAACGCCTTGGGGTCCTGCCGGAGGAGCTGGTGGAGGTGGCCGGGGAGAGGACGGTCTGGAGCTCCCTAGTTGGGATGTTGTCCCCACGACCCGAATAGGATAAGCGGAGGAAGACGAAGACGACAGAACGACTCAAGGCAGGAGTGGTTTAAGAAAAATAAATTCCTTTTATTGAAGGAGGATAGGTAAAAATCCAAAGGAGCAAAACCAATCTAATATCGAATAAAAACACTGACAAAAAAAACAAAACAGAAGCTCACTCATGAGCGCGAACCTGGAGAAACTCGAGGGACAAACAACCGGACAAACCGACAAACACTGAGAGACACAGACAGGGTTATATACACGGGGCTGGGTGATTAGGAGACGAGGAGCAGGTGTGTGGGGAATTGGGCACAGGTGAAACTACTGAACTGAGGGAAGAAGCAGAAATAAGCAGGGGAGAAACCCATATCTAAATCCTGTAAACCAAAGCTACTAAAATAACCCAAAACTAAAGTTAAACGCAGTAGAACATAGGGAAATCTAAAAATAAGTAAACGAAAGATCTAGGTGGGGAAGGGAAACACACACACTGAAGGAGACTAAGGAACTGAACGTATAAGCATATAGAGATCTACAGTGGAGAGACTAGGAGAACACGAGGGAAACCTGGAGGGAGCTGGGGACAAAAAAGGGCTGTGGACTACAAGGACACAGAACACTAGGGGACACCTGAGGGGAACCTGGAGGGGGGCTGGGGACCACAGGGACACAGAACATGACAGATTTTAACTTTGTTTACTACAATCATTGGTTTTTAATCTGAGTAACTGAAACTGTCTTAAATATAAATGTACATTTTTTTAAAATATGAAAGGTGTAAAATAAATATATAAGAATGAATGGTCACATTTGTTTACTGCTGATTGCCTCTGTTAAAACTCTGCGGAGGGGTCATCCATCCACTTGCCTGCCTTAAAACTCCATAAAAGAGAGCGGTGTGGGTTGCTGGATAATTTTACAGGCTCCACTTGCAGGGCTGCCAACTCTCATGTATTGAGCACGAGACACACATCTGGCCCTCTTCGCACACTCTCGTGCCACACCTCCAATATCTCACGCTGAAGAATCAACCTACCCGCTCTCACGTAAACTTAAGGAGGTGAAAAGTAGATGTAGACCCCACAGACATAAATACGTAAATGCCCAATTGGGCGCTGGATAGCATAACAGCATCACCGCCATATTGGATAGGTCTCACTCTCCATAGCAGTGACTGAACAGTCTGAAAAGTCCAGTCAATGCAGAGTTAGCAACTTGTGTCTGATTTAGTGAAAAAGCTTGACAAAATGTGTTTTTTAGTCAGATAGAGCCTTCCTTAGTAGAAATTAATGCACTGGGGGCAAATGGAGACCCGTCTAAAATGGCGGCCGGTCACTACGGCAGTGCCAGTGTGGTAAACTCGCAGTTTAGAGACTTGAGCAATGGCAGATCCACCAAAGAAAGCTAGAATTCTCTTTTCAGAAGAATCTAGGAAAAGGTAAAGAGAATGTGATAGACCAGACCAGAGTTAATATTGGGCCAGTTTTTCTGTCTGGAGAGCTCTTCTTGAAAGAACGGCATGAACTACAGACTCTGGCCTAGCCGTGCTGCTAATAGATAGGTAAGTAATAAATAATTTCACCAGGATTATTGTGTTTGGTCGGGCATAACGTTGTTATACAGTCCTGGTAAAACTTTATTCAATGCTGAAACACAGCTTAATATGTGTGGGCCACACCTGTTCCTGGCTTAGGATCTTTTCAAAATGCTGCTGCGCTTCACCGACTGCTGTTGAATAACAAATGCCAGCGCTACAATGTTAGCTGGCGCAGACTGAGCAACCCTACTGACTCACAAATTATAAACAAAGACTGTGTCCCTCTTTAGCTTTTTTCTGAAAGAAGAAAACTTCCTTCCAAAATGATTGAGATATTAGAACGGTTAGTGATTTTGTTTTTCCAACTGTAAAAGTCTTACATGTTGTAACCTTAAACAAGGCAGTTGTTGGTGCATATTCTCAGTCATGCAGGGCATGATAGTGAATATTGTAAATTCTCTTGCTATTTTGGCTCTCATCTAAGAAGCTTCTGCTGTTCTTATTTAGAAATGAAGAAGCCTCTGAATAATGGAATCTCATGAAAAAAAAAACAGCTACAGTTTAATCTTAATCATGAGTTATTCTGATACATGTATGTTTTTGGAAAAAAATTATGAAAAATGTAACATTTTCCCTCTGAGGCCATTTTAAAATTTTTATTTCTGCAAGATTAAAATGAATAAAAACAATGTTACATGCAGGGATGTGTATTTTTGAAACTCTGGCGATACGATACATATCACGATACAGGGGAGACGATACAATATATCACGATACAGGGGAGACGATACGATATATCACGATATATTGCAATACATTCAGTCAGACGTTACAAGCATTTTTTTTTTACCGAATTTACTGTAAGAATGTTCAATAAACAGTCCAAACGGATACGCAACATGTTTAACATGAGGTATCTGAACCATGATGGAGGGATTTACATTTCATTGGTGGAAACAAAACCCGTTGCACACTGCTGCCAACTAGCGGGTGGCAATTGAATTGCACAAAACGAAAAGAAAATGCACAAAAGTTTGCATGTAAATTATTTCAAGAATTAGATACACGGCTTTTGAATATCGATGTAATAATCGCAGGAAAAAATATCACGATATATTGCCATATCGATATTTCCAATACACAGCTTTTGGATATCGATATAATATTGCTGGAAAAAAATCACGATATATTGCCATATCAATATTTCTGATGCACGGCTTTTGAATATCGATATAATATTGCTGGAAAACATATCACGATAT